AGATAAAAGAAAATAAATTTCAGTGGTGCTGGTGGTGTAGGGGTAAGACATCAGCTTAGTGTTTAGAAGGTCCCTGGTTCAAAACCAGTAGGATTTTTGTGGAAAAAAAAAATGGAAAGAAGTTAAGAGATAGGAGGAGGGAGGGACCGGGGTGAGGGTAGATTTTTTGCTTTTTTTGCGGCCGTTCATTAAGACACTCGCCTAAGCGGGTTTTATTAAAATCCACATGGGATCAAAAAGAAAAAAAAATTGGCCCACCGTCCGCCGACCAACCACCCTCCCTTAGGGGGGTGACTTTGACTTATTCATTTTAGACCAAGTTCTATGAACGAGAGTTAGCAAGAATTGTATAATAACTATAGCGCCATCTGTTGACTAAAACCTCATGGAAAGCCACGAAGTGAAGTAAACAATGTAACATCTTACTTTCTTATGACCTCACTGGGCTGTGCAAGCCGCTCCTCTAAAAATTCATTTTATAGGGCTATGACTGCAGGCACCGAGTATGAGTTCATGGAAGCTTAGCAGCCCGTCCATTCCACCCTTGGGGTCATGCAGGAATGTAATCGCTGGACACCAATCGACATTAGCGAGAGTCAAGAAAATAATAAATAACACTGCAGCGCCATCTGTGGAGTAATATTCAGCTTTCAATCCACAGATGGCAGATGCAGTTATAATACAATTCTTGCTAACTCTCGTTCATAGAACTAGGTCTCAAATGAATAATTTCAAGTTACCCCCCTAAGGGCGGGTGGTTGGTGGGCGGATGCTGGGCCAACATTTTTTTCTTTTTGATCCCATGTGGAATTTAATAAAACCCGCTTAGGCGAGTGCCATAAGAAACTAAGATGTTACATTGCTTACTTCACTTCGCGGCTTTCTATGAGGTTCTAGTCAACAGATGGCGCTACAGTTATTATACAATTCTTGCTAACTCTCGTTCATAGAACTTGGTCTAAAATGAATAAGTCAAAGTCACCCCCAAAGGGCGGGTGGTTGANAGGGTGGTTGGTCGGCGGACGGTGGGCCAATTTTTTTTTCTTTTTGATCCCATGTGGATTTTAATAAAACCCGCTTAGGCGAGTGTCTTAATGAACGGCCGCAAAAAAAGCAAAAAATCTACCCTCACCCCGGTCCCTCCCTCCTCCTATCTCTTAACTTCTTTCCATTTTTTTTTTCCACAAAAATCCTACTGGTTTTGAACCAGGGACCTTCTAAACACTAAGCTGATGTCTTACCCCTACACCACCAGCACCACTGAAATTTATTTTCTTTTATCTTCCTCTTAAGCTACATCTTCGGTTATAATTCCAGAAAAAATCAATTAACTTACTTTCCAAATCACAAAACTATACTTGATCTCGATCCTTCTAAGTCCTCTTCACTACGCCGGTGTTTTACCAACGGGCCACCAATGCCATGGAAATTTTATACCTTTAATCTTCCTCTTATGTTACATCTGTTGTTATAATTACAGAAAAATCTTATTAATTCGATTAGTATTTTATAAAAGTTTCGGTGGTTCCGAATCTCGAACCTCGTACCTCTTCGTTATAACGCTCGTGTTTTACCTCTAGACCACCAGAACATCTATGCTACAGTTTTCTGCGATCCTCCTCATATTCTACTTGGTTTATAGTAGCAGATCGGATTAGTTGCACATGTCATGTGAGCTGATTTCTTATACTTTCTTAACCTGCTGTTACTTCCGATCAGCCAGCCCAGTTTGGACATTTCTCCCTTATGGATTCCTGGAACCTAATCCATACCACTGTTTTATCACATTTTTGACATGTGCACGCTTGGCACAGAAGTTCTATCTCGTCTTTTATTGCGATGTTATTCTCGTCTCCCAATGATGGAACCTGTTGTCAGGAGTTTATAGGCTGTTCTCTACTGACCGGCGCTTGTTCTGTGATTGAGACTGTTTCCAACAGGCTCCATCCATCTGAGGATGGAGACGTGGGCTTTTTGTCATATACATACAGGGTGATTCACGAAGTTTTACCCCCACTTGGAGAGGGCATTCCAGAGGTAATTTGGAACAAAAAATGTTAATATCGCAATGGTATCCAACTCATTAATTAAAGAAATAGAGTAATTTGAAAACTGGTGGAAAATCTTTTTTCTTTGAATTTCAGCCAAAACAAATTACAAATACAATTCAAACACTTTGTAAATCGTTAACGTTTTAGGAAAGAAATATTCTAAAACCAATTTTTTTTCTTCAATTTCTTAATTTTGCATTGTGCAACATTTATCATTGATTTTGTTACAAAATTACATTATTTTCAGCATCCCATTCTGCAAACATACCAATGGTTGCATACCACACCCTTCTATCAATCTGTTTCCTTTAAACTGTAGTGCTTTAGAAGACGACTGGATTTACATAAGATTTTCAAAAACGTCTCCCTGCACGTCAACACAATGCGTCGCACGCGTATGAACCGCTCTGCCTATCTACCTATGCGCAACATTCAAACCGGTCTACCTTATCTGCTGACATAGCTGACTGGAATGTATGGTCGCCCACGCTGCATTCACAATGATGCGTTTCGAAAATCTATTGTTACTCCGTAACTATTGAAAATCGACCACAAGTTTATAAGGAAATTTTGCAGGAAATAACCCCAGGAATATGTACCATAAGCCGGGGTAAAACTTCGTGAATCACCCTGTATATACCAGAGGATGGATCGAGTCCAAAATAAGCCTAATAGTTCTGTACAAAACTATAATATTGCTTGTGGTTCTGTATGGGTATGAAACTTGGTCTCTGACATTAAGGGAGGAACATAGACTGAGGGTGTTGAGAATATTTGGACTGAAGGGAGATGAACTGGCGGGAGATTGGAGAAAACTGCATGAGGAGCTTTATAATTTGTACTCTTCTCCGAGTATAATTACAATGCTCAAGTCAAGGAGGATGAGGTTGGCAGGGCATGTAGCACAAATAGGGAGGCGAGAAATGGATACAGCATATTGGTGGGAAAAGCCAGAAGGAAGGAGACTACTGAGACGACCAAGGTGTAGTTGGGTGGATAATATTAAAACATATCCTAGCGAGACAGGTTGGTTTGGTATGGATTGGATTGATCTGGCTCAGGATAGGGACCAGTGGAGGCCTCTTGTGAACACAGTAATGAACATTCGGGTTCTACGAAAGGCTGGAAAGTTCTTGTGTAGCTGCACAATTGGCACCTCCTGAAGAAGGGCTCAGCTCCATAAGTAAGTTCAATATCACTTCACCCATATCCTTTGGGTTGGATTTGAGTGAAGTTCTATTAAACTTGGTCCCCCACTCCCTTTCGAAAAAAAATAACAGCGGAATAAGAGCCTCTGCAGCTCTGGACTACAAGATATTAGGTTGCAAATTACATGTATTTATCTGGAGAAAGTTTCTCACCAGTGCCTGGAAAGTCATAACCTCTCTCTCACATGAAACACCTGTTTAACCAAAGGCACTGAACATTGTGAACTGTGACATACATGGAATACCTTTGCCTTCCTCATATAGTACAACTTGCTTCCAACATGCACAAATTTCTTACATTTTTTTTTCCCCCACAGAAATAGACATGTTTTTGAACCATGTTACTTCTAAACCATAGACCAGTGCCTTACCAAAGGCCCACCCTGGTTATGACAACTATTCGCCTTCGTATTCCACTTATCCCGCCGCTTCGTTTGTACAAAATTCCTCTTTACTCCAGAGTATGGTTACCTTTTCCAGCTGCCTGCTCAGTCCCTGTTAGCTTGTAATTAAATGTTACCAATTAAATTGTTATCCACATATTACTGTGTGGATGGCTACATCAGGACATAAAACACACAGAAGAGTCCCATGAATTAATGGAACAGAATGACATAAAGGGCGTGTCCATAACTGGGTGTTGATGAAATTCTGGAGAAGGAATTCAAATTAAAAATGGATCCAAATCAGATTTCCTACTTCAAGATATATTCTGGTTCATGTATGGGAAATAATATTTATATATGGCACTGATTTTATATATTAATGCATCTCTTTTCAAAAGTAGATTGTACTTGACCTGTGTGCCATTCATAAATTGGTAACTGCACGTTCTGTTGATTCAGAAACTCTGAAGCCTGTTTGAGTCGGTGAAGACAGGGAACACTAAGTAATCTATACACTTTAACCTGTAAAGTAACTTGGTACCAGAGGCATGCTTTTCAGGAAATTAAACTTATTTAGTAGTAAATAATTAAGTAATATACTTCCATTTCTTCCTCTTCCTTGTCAGAGATTAGGCCTAATATCTATTCCAGGGTTACGTATTAAATTATATTTGTCTCTTTCTTAGTTGGGCTACATCTTGCCTTCCTCTTGGATTATAAAATAAGTTTGTTATGGCAAAAATTCATGTCTCTTCTCTTTTACACATTGTTTCCTTTGATACTGTAGGATTTTTTTTCCATATTTATTGTTCATAATTGTTCTCAGATATCTTTACTTTTCACTGTCTTGCAGCATAATTCACAAGTTTGGTTGCAGAAGTCTCATTTGAGCAAATTTTGTTATGTTCTTATATTTGGTTCCTAATACCCATCTCTCACTTCTGCAGCCGCTTCAAACTTCAAATTGAAATGAAAATTCTTACTGACTGACATCAAACAGGATACATCAGTCGTGATCTTTGTCAAATATTCTCTGCAGAGTTCTAAATTAGAGTGAACACATGAGCACTGATATATGTCCTAAAGTGAACACTACTGAGGATGGATTGCAAGGTTTCTCTAGATGGGAGGTGGACAGAGGATATAGGACTTCAGGCAGTGTTTAAGGATGGAAGGCCAACACTTCGTCTTTAGAATTCCATTATGTTTCTATCTACTGTTCCTAATAACTGCTGCCAGTAACCTGGGAGCCTATACAGCTGGATGTGGTGAAAGATTCTCCATCACTGGATTACTGTCCGTATCACACAGCTCTTAGAACATGGAAAGTGAAATCAATGTTGTAAACAGCAGCCCAATATGTAACATTTTATTGAAAATAATAGAACAGTTACCTTCTTTTTAGAACTGTAATTAGATGAAAATAAATAAATAATTTAATTTAATTATGAACACTATGAAGTCTCTTAATTTATTCATGTCATGATTTCAAGCTACAAATACCTACATTAGCCTTGATTTGCATGATCTGGTGGCGACAACAATATGCTCAAACAAAAGTTGAGATCTTCCAGAATTCTTTCACAGGCTTACCACTTTCAGAATTCCAAGGCATGTAGTAAAAGCAATTTCATATTGGTGTCTCCAAACACTCTCCAGTCTTATAAACTACTTATGCTATGTCTCAGCCTCATGCCACACCTGCAAATCAGATTTTTCGTATGACATTTTAATTATGGGAAATGAACACCTATACCAAACTGCACACCATGATTTGGTTGGTCTTCACGCCGGTAAAGGACAGGTATACAATAATTCAGCTCAATACGTCCCATCTGGCCAAGACGTAGTGCCACACCAATCCCATATGCCATCCGCACAGTTCTCATCAAAGTCTGAAAACTTGTAGGCATTTCTTTACCTGTAATAAAAAAGTGATACCTCTGAAATAAGTATTCCAGGTTTACAAAGCTTGTAATTCTGAATGAACACTGAAGGAGTTTCTCTCTTAACTTTTTCCATCACTTTTAATGCTAACACATTATATTACCTCCTCAAGTGTAATTACAACTAAATCCTTATTTAATGAAGTTCTCAGAGAATGGCGTTCCTTACAATAAATCAAGGTTTTCAGAATATAGGGCTAATGCAAATTTATATCAAGAAACTGTTCATTTTCCTATATTTACTGCAGCTGGCTCAAGCAGTAACATGACTAGTATTAAGCAGGCACCTGTTTTGAATCTTGGCCAGTACATTAACTATCCTGACTGAGGTCTCTGACGGCTTTCCTCAGACCATGCAGGCAAATAATGGAATGGTACATTCAATCAGGTCATAACCACTACCTTCCTAATCATCATCATTCATCCTACCATTTGATGATATACAGGTAGGCTGTAGCCACTCACACTGTCATAAGAAAGACTACACAAACACCAATACTTGTCCTGCATATACAGGAGTATACAAACATGTCAGCAGACATGAACCACAGAACTAGGTGAAAATGTCTCTTACCTAAATAAACATTGTCCAGGTTTCCAGCACTTACAAAAAGGTGGGTTCTGAAGAAATCACCCAAACCTCCCTTGCCAGGACTGAATGGAAGAGGCGTGAATAAATGAAGGCCACCTGACCAGTATGCCTAAAACAAATGGGAATGATCTAATACTTGCACATTCTCATGACAATGCCATGATAGTGGCCTTATAAAGACAATGGTCATGCCCCTCCAATGCACAAATACAACTATTAATAAAGACTCCCTCACTGAACATTTCATTATCTGCCACTCGCTCTTTTACATAAGCAATAGGAAGATACGGAAAAATGTATGATTCATACCTGATTCTTGTCTGTATTTGTATGAGAAAAGTAAATAATGATTAATTACATATTGTAGTGACATTAAAAAAATTTGCTATACCATAGACCAGTGGCTATCCCCCCCCAATATTATCTGTGGTGAGAAATAAGCACACTTCTGTTTATAACCATAATTTTAACCTGTTACACTGCCTCATGTTTGGCATACTTCTGGATCACTGCTTATTACAGCTAGTGCAATATAAAACGTCATAGAAGGCAACTCCTTGACTGTACTGAGTAGAATAAGGCACACAACATTAAACATATTTGAAGGGACAGTCCCACTGACAATAACAGATAATCAAGGTACATAAAATGTATACAAAAGTATGCAGTCTTGATGCTCTAGCATCAATAAAAACAAATGTTGATACGATAGAGTCTGCTTTGTTTTAAATACAGAATATTGTCATGTAGACTGCATACTTTTGTATACATTTTATGTACCTTGTTTATGATACAGAACAGGATGCATACTATTAAGATAACAGTAACAGATAATGTTGAGTTGGGGTTCTTACAGCAGTGGTTATGAAGACTTCTGTCTTCTGGGATGTCATGCAATGAGGTGAAAGTCAACTGATATTTCGAAGGAATATTTCGCCTCCATATTCAGGGTTAAAGGAAATCACAGGAACTGATGGGTTATATTTTGAACTAATCTTCATTTTTGACAACCTGATTACAAAAATGTGATATCTAATGAGAAGCCAGTATTTATTTTGACTGCAATTTGGCAGTCCCTTATGCTGGTAACATGTACAGCAGAAGCATGCTCAGGAAAAAGCAGCAGAATGCTATAAATTTTTAATATTTCCCCATGTGCTTCTTAGCCTCTCCCTCTTATCCTACCACTCTAACTATACCCTCCTACGTCCCAACAGACACCAGTGAGTCCACATGCTCATATTTCACGAGATGACCAAGCATTAACACTTCAGTGCATTACTACAGAAGCTCAGACACATTTGTTTGAATTGACAATATGTAAATTAGGCAAGCACTAAGCTAAGGCACAAAATACAAAATTAATTACTTACATTCATATCTATTTAACAAAACAATTGTGACTAGAATGTGAAGGTAAAAATAAGATATATTTGTATCTGAAATTTATTGTCTAAAAGTATGGGTGTGTAAATTATGCATACAAATATAATATTACAACCAGCACTTACATTGGCACCTAGTGCATTTCCATCTTTATGAGGCCCAACACCCCTTGCTTGGAAACCTCGCAATGACAAAGGACCACCTAAAAAAAACTGGTCACAAATGCCAACATTCTGGCTGTTGTTAATGCGTGTAAGAAAGCCAGCCTGCAGTGTTGCCTGAACTACCTGTAACAGCAACACATGAAGCAATTTATTAACTGAGACCTGAACTTTGCACCTTTGCCATGAATATGACTTTTAGGTCTAAACCTCACTAAATGTAACAGATATACATATTTAGTAAACCTTTCAACCTGGTTCTTGCCTTACGTAATAATACTTTATGAAGTGCATAGCTACATATAGTATCAAATGATAGGAGGATTAAAATGAAGGGTATAAAACTGGCTATGGCCTATTTCAAGGATCAGTCCCATTTACTTGAAGAGATTAAGGAAAACAATAAATATTTCCCTTTGGATATTCAGCCTCTGGACAAAGACCGGAACTTGAGGCCTCCTCAGCACAAAGGAAGATTAATCAGCACCCCAACATACAGAGAAGATTTGATAAGAAGCTATGTGGCTTGTGAAGCACACATACTAACATATTCCCTATCAATAATGCTAACACAAATGTAGCCTTCTAGTAGCACTTGTGTTCTGTATTTATCATATACTCATAATTTACACAAAAACCAAAGTAAAATAAAAATTAAATATGATATACCATGTCTGCTAAGAGGGTCCAATTGCTTTGCAAGCATAGATCATTCTTAAAGAAGCCAATATTGCCTCCAAGACCTGCAAACTCTTGCGTTAACTTTATGAGGGAACCACAGGTGGGTAGAATGGGTGCATCCCTGCAATCAAACGTCAAGATGTGACGAACTGATGACTTCAGACTAGGTCCTGTCTGTTCCCGCACTTGGAATGCAGCTGAGCGACTCATGCACGATATATCTCGCCAAGCTCCTTCCCACTGTAAGTTGTGTCTAACCTGTCACACACAAACAGGAATGCCCCTGTAACTGTTTCTATTAGAACTCCACAACATTTACAGATTATTATTTCTCTGTGGGATTCAAGGTTCTCACAGTAGTGGTTATGAAGAGCACTATCTTCTGGGATATAACATCACGTAGTCCGCTGAAAGTCAACTGATGTTTAAGAAGTACATATTGCCTCAATCTTCAGGGTAGAATAAACCAAGCAGCATTATATCTCATAACTTCTCGTTTGTTCTTTCTCTGTTCCAATAAACGTAACAACACTTACTCCAAATCCAAACTCTAAAATAACTAATGTATCCATGTAAGATTTGAGGTTTTCACAGCAGTGACTATGAAGAGAACAGTCTTCTGGGATGTGGCACCGTGTAGATGTGGTGTTAACTGACGTTTCTGAGGAATGTATGGCCTCCATCTTCAGGGTAGAAGGAAAAATAAGAAAATCCGCGAGCGAAGAAACAACGAGCAGGTGCAAGCAGACTAATGTTGGAAATGACCTCAGCTATATGAGAGCAGGAAAGGGACAGGTCTACTTGGGAAATCAGTGGAGAAGGAGAGGGGAAGGGTCTGGGGAGCAGGAGCAAGGCCAGAGCAGGTATAGGATATTGTGAGGGGGGAGAAAGGCAAGGTTAATGGGAGGGCATTAACCCTTAAGCTGGGGGGTTGCTATGCGTGTCGATCATGGACTGCGTGGCCTTGTGGATCTGGCGTCACATTCTGGGGGGTTTTTTAGGGAACAGATGACAAGCTTCCATGATTTGCTGAGACGAAACCCCCTTTCTCTGTTCATATTGTCGGGATGGAGTTCAATCTCAATGGCTTCCTTAATGATGCGATCCATAGATTGGGTCTTAGTGGAGAGGATGGAGGTATTCTGCAGCTGAACGTGGTGTCCCAAATCGATGCACTGATGGAGGTGATACGTTCCTCAGAAATGTCAGTTAACACCACATCCCAGAAGACTGCTCTCTGCAAATGTATCCATGTTTCCTTGCCAAAACAACATTAGAGAATGTCTATTTATAAGTATAGCCCATTTTTATACGTAAATATAAGTGAATACTCATCATGAGGTTAAATTCTTCCCACATATAACAAAACATTCAAGAGAAAACACTGGGAACTTAACTTCAGTCACAGAACTCTGAAATGTTAATTCTGGATCATGAAATGAATATTTCACTGGGAGAAAAATAGCTTGAGATAAATTTGAAGTCTGAAAGTTTCCTGCAATGGCATATCACTTCCCTGGTTGCCTTAGATTGACAGACCATAACCTACAACAGTGAAACTGGAAACAGATCCCACTCATAAAATGTTCTCTGGGGATGTCATTTGGTGGATAGTTACCAACTTTCTGGAGGAACATGCTGCTCCATGTTAAGGAGAAAAGTGCGCTAGGGTATCCTGTAGACAGATGCAACAGATACCTCTGATACAGCTATAAAACTACAGGCTGTCCTGTCCAGAACAAACAACTGTGAGAACCTCAAATCTCATAAATTCCACTCACATTTCCTTTCAATGAAACAATTATCTAAACAATATCTTATGTGTTTTCCATGCACAGTAAAACCTGCCTTAAATGGACCCTTTATTAAATAGAATTTGTCTTAAATGGAAATATTTTCAGGTCCTGTGACTTTGGGGCTGAAAAAGATGTTAAATATCTTGGATTAAATGGAAACTGTCTAAGGTGGAAAAAGAAACCAAAATAAGCCTTTATACGGAAAATTTCCAGTCTTCCGGAATGCATCATTTAGAAGAATTTTAGGCATCGTACACATTCTACGGAATTTTGTTTTCTCTAACTCTTTCAATTCAGCTTTTAATGGTACTGCATTACCTGCAATGAAATTCAACAGAACTGTTTGCCCCTTCTAGAGATTTTACTCAGTGAGGGTTCTAGGCCAACATTTTTACTTTAGTCTTGCAGTTGTCATCATGGCTACAAAGACAAGACTTGTGCTTGAACTTAACACAAGAGTAAAAGTGGTTCATGTGAGTGAGCGAGATAAATTGTATGTTAAGCAGATCATGAAGATGTTTAACATCGGTAAAACTCAAGTTTGTGAGATTCTAAAGAAGAAAACAGAAATTCTGAAGCAGTGAAAAAATTGTGCTAATGGAAAAATAAAAAGTGAACCTAAGAAAACTGCAAACGAAGACATTAATGAAATAGTGTGGGAGTGGTTTGTCAGTGTTGGTGAAAAGTCACCGCGTGTTGGGTCCTATGGTACAGGAATATGCTAAAAAGGTTGCTGCAAAACCGGGGAGGACTGAATTCAAAGCATCTAATGATGGTCAGAGAATTTTTGCAAAAGACATCAGGTGAGTCAAGTGATGTAAATAGTGAGACCAATTAGGAGTGGATAGCTAAACTTCCATCTATAACCGAGAGATATGAACCTGAAAACACAGCGAAGAGTGATGAGACTGAACTGTTTTTCCGTGTGCTTCCGAATAAATGGTTATGTCTAAAAGTTGAAAAATATTTGGGAGGAAAACTGTGCAAAGAAAGACTAACTGTGTTTCTATGTCAGGTGAAATGGAGAAACCCTTAGTGATTGGCCAGACAGAAAAGCAAGATGCTTCTGAAACATGGACATATGGAAACTTCCTGTTGAGTGGAGATTTGACAAAAAGGCATGGATGACGTCACAGATCATGGAGGAATGGTTAACGGCTTTCAATGGCAGAATGAAAATGCAAAACCAGCATGTTTTGTTGTTCTTGGATGATGCAACATGCCACTCCCATATCAAATTTTCCAACATGTGGCTTGCTTGGTTCTCTCCAAACACCACTAGTGTCTCTCAACCAATGGATAAGGGCATCATTTGGAATGTTAAAGTCCACTATCATATATTATTAATGCAATCTTTGCTTGCCAATATAGACTCTACATCATCTGCCTCTGAACTTGCAAGAACTGTATTGGTTCTAGGCGTGGTTATTTAGATAAGTCAAGCAGTAAAGAAGTTGTTACCAGACACTGTGGCAAAGTGTTTAAAAAAAAAGCAGGATTATCTACAGGTGAAGTTACTGCTAGTGTAGAAGATGACCAGCAGGACTTACAAAATTGCATGAATGAAGCTGTTTTCAGTGACTGCAACGCTGAGGACAACATCAACATAGACAATGATATGCAAACAGAATCAGACACAATGCATATCGATGAATCAGTTCAGAATTTTAGAGAAAGTCAGAAAGGAAGAGGAAAATGACATTGTGATAGAAGAAGAAAAGTGTAGAGTGAAGACTTATCAAGATGCTGTCAAAAGTTTAAAGGAACTGCAGGAATTTGCCGCACAATGGAATGATTCAGAAATGCTTAGTGTAATTTCTCAAGCTAAAGTCTCAGTGGAAAGTCAGGCAGCAAAGAAAGTAAACTGTGTGCAAAAACTGCTTGAGTTCTGGCAAAACTATAAAAAGTGAGTACTGCAGTTTTTTTCTGTTCAGTGTAATGTCTGAATGTGTTCAATGATTATAGTGTGAATAAATTAATGAGTATGGTGTTTTATTTTGTCTCAAATACATGCATGTCCTGGCTTAATGATTATAGTATACTTTGATTAAACAGAAACCTGGCTTCAGCAGAAAAATGTTCTGGACCCTTGAGATTCCATTTAAGACAGGTTTTACTGTATCTTTGTACAAAATCACAAAATCCTACATGGAAAGAATCTTCCTTCCTCATCAAAGTCTGCTTAGCCTCTGGGCCACAATCAACGATGTTACAATGTGAAAAATCCCTCAGTAGAACAGGTTTCATGCAAATAACCACACATATTCAACATTTATTAAAGAGTAGACATAAAAGATACCCAATTCTACCTCCTCTATGAGATTAATTAAAGAAAGTAAACATTTTACCAAGGGGGTTGAATTGAATCCAAAATCTAGTAGAAGACCCCTCTCAATCTGCTTGTATCCTGACGAAGGCCACTCAGATCCTGCCTGGAACACTGTGCCAGTAAAACTGAAAATAAAAAACACATAAGTACCATATTCAAAGGAAAAAAAAATAACATACTTGCAGACATAAATAGAAAAGTTCTGAGATTTGGATAACTTAAAAAATATTGTCTTTATACAAACAACTAAATTTCAGATTACAAGCACTCAATCCCTCATTCTCAAAATTCCAGCTTATGAAACCAAGTATGCTACACTTAGAAGCTCCTGTTTGCATTCACTTCTTTAAAACTGAAGGCCTTGAAGGAAAATCTTCACTGTAGAAAACTAAAGGTCTCATGGACAGCAGCATCCATGGTGGACAAGTTATACTGGAATATCTACTATGGACAGGGCTATGATGTTTAATATGTGTCAAAAATCTTTGTCATGGAATGACAGGAATGTTATGGACTGTATTTCTTGAGACTTTGCAGTCACTTGGCCAGCCAAATTGCTGTGTATTCTTATCGAGTAACAATACTTGAGATTCAAGTAGCCATGTGAATATAATAAAAGAAAAATTCTCTCATCTTTATAACATTTCTTGCCCATTTCATATAGACAGGAACATTACCAGGGAATTCTGCAAATGGCTGCTTGAATTCTGTCTCAAGAATCAAACTGGAAAATCCATACCTCATCACCTATAACTGACAGAAAGTAGAGAAGGGTGACAATTCTAAAATTTTTCAAGCATTTGATGGCATCACTGCACCATCCAATATTTTACGACTCCCTGAAGTGACTATGAAGATTACGATCTTCTGGGATGTAACACTATGCAATTTGATAGAACTCTTAACAGCGTTTTGGAGGAATCTGCTGCATCATACTTCTGTGTAGGATCTACTCAGAACACACTGTTCTTCTGGAGTGTGTCAGGTTTTGGGATACCCAACAATACCAAACCTTCTTCATGCAGAGTTGGTTGAGCAACATGGCAAAAATATTTGGCAATCAAAGGTAAAGCTATCCTTGTTAAGAGGACGTGGAGTCTCATGGGGTTGTGAGATGTTGAGGTTCCCACATTTTCTAGACAATCAGCCCACAGATGGCAGTCAGGTTGCCCGCCTTATCTGATGCCTGTCCCTTAACCCCAGGAACATTTAACTCCTGCATTAAGATTTTCCTCAGCCTTCTACTCCTGTTCATGAGTTAGGCTACTGTCTGCTCTGGCCACATATAGTTTATAACTCTTCCTCCATATCCTTCCAGGTTATCCTGAATCTCTTATTCCACTGGAGTTATATTTCAAATTTAAAACACTGTAATGGAATGCAGTGCTCAAATATGTATCCCAAAACAAACCTTAAATTGAGGTTTCACTTATCTCATTCTGACTTACTGTCACAGTACTTTGATTGTAAACAGTATATGATCATGATCACCACAGAAGAATGTTTACCATGGTCATTTCCATGGCTATGTCTGTTTCATCCTAACAGATTTATTTTTGTGGGTTACTTTACAAAGCTGTCAGCAGCTAGGCTCTATGACATCAAACAGTAGGATGATTAATGAAATGGAAAGGACTTGGTAGAAAGCCTTCATGGCCAAATTGAGCTATTATACTGGCATTTGTCTGGAAGGGCTGAGGAAAACCATGAAAAAGCTCAGTCAGGACATCAGCCTCCTTTGTTACTGCTTTCCCCTACCCTGAAAACACATATAACTCTTTTGCCATAATGTTTTACTAGACATATGTAGGTAATGTACTGTCACAGCAGCTAATACAAGCTAGAAGTCAACAACATCTGGGAATCACTGCATAATTGCCTACATTTTTGGCATCCTTCCACTTGCCACAGTCTACCGCAGAATAACTTTACAGTGTTCTATCAATTCACTAACTGTTTCCAAAGCATTATTCAGTAAGGTAAAATGGCACTGGGTGCTCCACCACAAAAATTCCATTCATTCACCATTAGTTCTCACAAAGAGCATGCTTACTTTCAAAGTTCCCATATTTTCTTGGATATTCAGCACCCCTGAATAAGCTGTATAATCCAGCTTTTATGAAATACAAAAAGTTTATGTAAATTTACTGAAGAATTAAAGTACACACAGCAAGTATACATGTATAAAACAAGTGTCTTAAAATCTGAATGTTATATTGTTTCTTCCGACTGCAACCTCATATTTGACAGGATGAGACATTGTGGCACTGGAAGGCAATTATTTTATAACACACAAACTGTTTCTTGAAAACATCCCCTTACATCCACCAGAAGTTGATACATAACCCATATCCCCCCAGCAGCCACTTCTGATATCTTATCTTCTACCTGAGAAATTAATGTATTTTCTCCCAGCAGCAAATTTGCTTCTGCTCTTTCAAAATCTGCAAAAGATTGTAAATGCTTATCTGTGAGAACACATGCACACATCGTCACATATACGGAAGAAGCCTTGAAAGTTAAGATGTTGCTTGCAGAGAGTAATGCTGTCAATATTATTACAATTGGCCACATATAGCTGACCTCACTACAAATAAAAATGCACAACTGTCAAATCCATCCAAATAAACCCTGCACTGTTACCAGTCTCACCATGAATAAGTCATGCACCTCAATTTTCAGCTGAATTTTCCTTTTTAGATAAAGATAAGTAGGGTATTTGAGAAAATACTGTCACACATTAGTTACCAGACATGGGAGTTTGGATTGGTAACTGGATTGATTAGACACTTGTAACTGCAAGTAACTATAACAGTTTCACAAATCTACACACTGTGCTACAGCACCAATGGGCGTTACTTGGAAATTCTTCTGCTTCAGTGCTCATGTCCTCAGTGGATGGCAGTTGGCTCCTAACTAACTTATTTCTGAACTAACTCTCAACTATCTGCTAATCAGCTGGTGTCCTCGATATATATCCTCCCTATGGACTCCATAAAAACACCACCTCCAACAATTCTTCTACTGTTGTGTGTTTATTCATTGCCTAGCAATGGTTCACTTCTCTGATGACATAAGAGAATGTTTACTATGCCACAGCATAACAACAGATGACATCTCTTGTTAAACAAATCGGTCATGTCACAATGTACTTCTACTGGCCAGAAATTCTTATCCAAACTGTTACACTTTTGGTGGATAAAATAAAAAGTTACACAAAAACACAACAGAACATGAAAATAAATCATGTTCTTAGAAGTTAATGCTCTTAGAAACACAAGAGAAACCTGTAAGACAAGTATTAAAAAAAAAAAAAACTGGCTACTTGGAAGATGATCAACACTATCAACAGCAGCAAACTCCTCCTATACACATGGACCTATGGAATTCAGCTCCAATTCAAACACTGAAATCCTCCTGTGCTTTCATTTCAAGACTCTCTGAACAATTCTGGACATACCTTGGTAAATAAACAACTACAGGACCCATGAAGATCTACAAATGAACACAGGGCTCAGTGAAATAAAAATGTGGAATACCAAATACTTAAGAAAATTAGAAAACCACACTAATGCACTAACAGTGAACCTACTGGACAGTAGTGANGCTACCGCTGGTATAGCTCTCAGGGTCCTTGGCATACTCAAGGATAAGGTGGAGACACCAACGAGGGAGAAAACTCCAATACAAGAATTAAAATTATATCTATGTGAACAGATGAAAATATATGAGTTATGCCACTCATTCATGAGCCACTACTTACTGAACATACACATTTCTTGCAGATTTGCAGATTATGTATGATAAATGTGTGAAAAAATTAATAGCATACAATATCACCCTTCACAAATTAATATTTACTCATACTACAATATATACATATATATGAAGGTTTCTATCACTGGTAACGTACACTGGATTTAAGTTCCCTTGAAGTGGTTTTGTAAATGAGAGGTTAAAAGTGGAAGTTTTCTGGGACCCATAACTGTATTCTGTCTGTAGCTTCTCTCCTCGTCCGAAGATGTTTGGCAACCGCATTTGCACCACCAATGAGCCTTCATTATTTCCCACTAATGTGCTCACTCCACCGACAATTCGCTTTAATTCACGTACATAGAATGTGACCTGAAAGCAGGATAACAATATTTGAAAATAAACCCACACATCAAACAGTGTGAATGTGAACTTTGAAAGACCCAACTGTGACCTGGACGGGCCGACCCATAGAGAATATCTACGCAAATAACGAAGACATGTGAAAAGGTTGTTCCAGCAATCAGACACATCATAAGTCTGCAGGATAAATAATGCAAGGGGGATCTTACAGTTCCAGATGAGTCCCTTTACACTGTCCCTGTCATTGCTCTTACCAGAATGTGAAGACAGCACAGACAGAAAACTGACTGCTCCCAGGAACTGTTATATTCTCACAGTGGAGACTATGAAGAGTACAGTTCTTTGGGTTGTGATGCCATGTAGTCTGGTACAATTCACTGCTATCTGAAGGCGTGTCCTGCCTCCACATTCAGGGTTGAAGATATGCTAAGCAAGCAACATGCAGCAGGCTTAGTGAGACATGAATGGAAAGTATGGTTACATATTGGAGAGTGCAAGAGTCCTCAGATAACTAACAGTTGTAAGAAGAGTACAGAAACATGGTCCTAAAACAGGCCATGTTTCAAAGTGAAGAGATGTAGCAAAGCAGCAAAACTTGGATCAGTGGGGAGGCCCACAGAGTAACAGGGACTACACGGAATGTGCTGAGGGATGAAAAGAAGAAGAAGCTTCTGTGAAAAGAGCAGCTAGGAAAGCTTGGGCAGGCCTCTACCATGTCCACAGTTGGACAGCCTCCTCAGAACAGGCTAGCTTGGCATATCTGCAATCTGAAATGGAGGTGAACCACTACCAGACTACACAGTGTCACATCATGTTCATATTTCTGAACATCACAGTGAAGAGAGCATTATCTATATTTGTATTTAAAATGGAAACTTGGCCAATAAATCCAGAACCGTTTCACTAAATGGTACAATTATACAGTGACACACTTTCCCTACTGGTATTCTATTTCATTTACATGTAAACTGATTTTAATGAAACTCAATAATAATCTCACAATACCACTAGAATGCACACCAACATATACACTGATAACTAATGTAGAAATATCTAAATTTAACTATTTTTTTATTGCTAGTGGGGTGGGACTAAGTCCATTGTACTGCTGCCACTTCTGGCCTATTGTACCAGCCCCAGATGATAGGTGAGGGTGATTGTGGAGCAATTGGTGGAATGAAGATTGGCAGGGGAAACCGAAGTACTTGGAGAAAACCTGCCCCAGCGCCACTTGACCAGACCTGTCATCAAACACAGGCCACTGCTGTGGGAAGCCAGTGACTAAGGGCTTGAGCTATGGCGTGGCCTAAATTTAACTAACTTTACAATAGTAAAATAAACTCTAACCTAACTTAGATTGAATATCAATTGAAATGGCTGCTCCTGCCATGTTGTTATGGAGTTTCATATCCTTACAAACATGATGCTCATACAACAGTCACAACATTCCACATCTAATCCAGTCAACTCTGTCATTTGTCACAGTTTCTCCTAACAAAAATGAGGCAGTTCTATGTTGTCATCAAATGATAATACAGAGTGGCCCTAAAGTCAAGTTATATTCAGATTAAACCTGACGGTCAATTTGTAGAATGGCATCACAACACTGTGAACTGTGCACTGAACATGGAGGATATCATTTTGAAAAACCTGTATAAATTCAGGAAATAATAACAAAAATTTGAGCATATTGTAGTGTACATGTTAGATACCAGTTAACTAACTTTTGGGCTATCCTGTGTTGTGACAAGAAATAAAGCTTCACTTGTGAAGCCAGCAATTCCAACTGTTGACAAAAAGTGAAATCAATACCTCAACACCTTCAGGAGTAGCATGTGGTCCAGAACTTGTATCGATATAGATTCCTATATTTCGGAAACACCCTAATCCTTCAAGTTTCCCACGAACTTTGTGTGCACCAACAATCACCTCCTGGAAATCTTTTGCTTGGAATAAATCCCTTACAGTGGCAATAATGATGTCATCTTTCGTCCTGGACAATCCATCCACATAGATTTTGTCCACCCGGGCCTGTTGACAAGAAGCAGCAACTAGAGAACAGAATCTGGGAAAGATTTGACCCCATACAGGGTACTTACAGATTCAAATGTTGTCATTCCTTGGCACTAGGGTTAGCAATATTCTGGTAACAAATGAAAGATTCACAGGATGATACAGGAGGAGTCTAATGGAGTTCATGAGTATGTTATGCAAGTACTGAATAAAAAATGTCCTGCCACCATGCATCCACTTTGAAAAGTGGCAGTTTCATAGTAAAATAAAGATGTACCAGAAATGTCCAGCTTAATGAAAAATTTCACAATATTTCAATGTAAAACTAAAATAAATACTATTTAATAATCGAACAACTTACAAAACCTGTTCAAAATGTCTGTCTGTGACTTGGACACACCCTTAAGTGGTATATTTTTTATATGGTTGGCAGCTCTATGTATAGCCTTGCCAAAGAGTGCGGCATACACATCACAGGTGAACAGTTTCTGTAACATGTTTCATTATCATATAATGCTTATTCAAATTGTCATGAAATTATTCATTAATAACCCTTGTATCTGCTACCGCTGTACCACACTTTCAACCTGCCATGGTTTCTTAAACTTCCTGAACTGAATCCATCTTAATCAGCCTTCTTAATTCAAAATCAAGTGATTAATGTGTCAATAAAGTCTGGCAGACTCCTCTGAATCACCCTGAATATTTTCATAGTTTTTACTCTACAGCCTATAGCCTATATTAAAACACTCTATATGTTTACCTTGACTCCATCTAGGTTTATTTGTTTCTGTTCAGTGCTCTGCCCCTTATCACTTTCATAGTGGTCTCTTTCACCCTGTATTAACAAAAATATACACAGGATTCATTAAAACATGTCTAACAGTTGTCATAATTAGTTGTGCACAATACTGAGAGCATTCTATATCTTAGCAATGTCAGTAACATTCCTTTTATGTATCTGAAAAATTCACGTACAGGGATTTGTATAAACTATACAGCAAAGTGAACAGAACATTCCGTTTAATATTAGAAGAAAATATAATTTGCCTAGAGACCATATTTGTTTCATATTGATTATTTCTCTATGAAACAGGGTCTCTCAAAGTCTCTACAAGTTGGTCATACATGTTCCATGCATGAATATTCCCTAATGGCAGACTAACTCCATTTACAATGCTCTATCACAACAACACAATTAACGTTACATATTACTGTATCACTTATTTAAGCCATACTACACAAGTTCAGGAGAATGAAATCATCAATCATCAGAGGTACTCACAACATCTGACATTACGGCTGAATGACACTGCTTCCAATACTTTCTGTCAGTTCACACCCAAATTTTCATCAAATTAAGCTTAAGTGATATTGACCATTAATCATTCTTACTGGCATGAAATATACAGTATAAATTAATGTGTAATATTTCTAGTCCCTTGGACCATTATAATGGGTCACTTATTCAGAATGGGAAGTTTAAAGAAAAAAGGAAACAAACTGATATCAATTCAACAATTATAAATAAAGAGATATACCTACAAGCACTTCATATGTGAAAGACAAAACACAAAAGTAAATATGACATCTATCTCCAATTTGGATTTATATATATTGTTACAAAACATTATGAAATAGTTCAATGATTCCCACAGAATTACACTGGCATTACAGATAAAAGCATGCTGACTGCAAAAACAAATATAACACTTTTTTTTGTAGCATTCAGACAAACTGATCCATCGATTTATCCATTGTTCATGAACACTATCCATCAAAGAATCGATCAAATGAGCTACATGAGAGAAATACATATACAATGGAAGCAACAACCTATCTTAACATGCAGTATCCAGATTCAACTAGGGCTGACAGAACCTAAAAAGAAAAACTCGAATTCTATGTATGGATACACTGTATACAAAGCCATGTTATAATCATGCACCTATATTGCTCATATGGCATACGAGTGGAATCTTATTTAAACAGTGTAAAAACATTCTACACAACCTCACTTCACTCGTTACAAAACTATTCTATCCTCCCGGAAAACATACAGCCACTAAAAATCAACAGGGTCAAGCTAGCCTATCTGTACCTGTAAGCCAGTTGCCGCAAAGTGCGACCGAACGTCTCCGATGGTTTGATCAGGAGGTACATCCTCATAAACAGACCAAAAAAGAATTATACAAAGTAAGAAGAATGTGATAATCTATAAGAACCGCCATTCCCATTTAGTAATTACACAACCCTTACATTATATCCAAACATGTACCTTGCAGTGAACTGTCCCCATTGTCAAGTGTATTCACTTAAGTTTGAGTTATTTATTATCCTCATATAAAATAAATTTAAGAAATTTCCAGCAACCTAACACAACTTATCCGTCTTCGTCATGATATTTTCATGGCTAACTTGATTGCCAGTTGATAAAAACTGTACACATTGTTTTCACCAGAAATCGCAGGGGCTCACGATCTCGTCACAGAAACAACCACGGATTACTAAACATGCATGGACTACTTAACGTAGTGAGATTTTTTTTTTTATTTCATGAATCCTGTTGTTATAACATACAATTTCTTTATTAAAACCGTCAGAACACAACTATATTAAGGTCAGTGCCAAGGTTGGCTCTGCCACGTGTATAGGCTATTAAAAGCCATCAGCAGGCAAATACATGGCTAAAATATATACACCACTGAACTGCAGTACTAATAAATTGTATACAATATTAATTATATTAAAATACTTGGCGTAAAAATACATTAAATTAGATTATATAAAACGAAAGTTATAGGATAAAATTCTTCGAGTGATGCTTTACATTATCGAGTCAGTCATTGGTTTTTGTGATTTTGTTGTTCCCATGGACAAATTGGAGTACTGCATATTTTGTGTATCTATAATAAACTGTTTTGGAGGCTTGTAATGTAGATGTAGTAATATTGATGTTAATTATTTAGTCGGTCCCTCAACTTACAAAGTATTGTCCGTTCTGTAGGGAATGTAAACGACTGATTTGATGTATGTTAACAGACAATGCAGGGGAGAATAGATATTAAGAGATTATTAGATACGTTCACGATATTTTAATCATCTATAATTCCCATAACGCATTAAAATACTTTGTATGAATTTAATATCCACCCTCTCAAATTCACAATGGAAATAGGAATAAATATCAATTTCTTAGATTTATTCATGGAGATAACACGAAAAGCTGCAACAGTTAAAACTATACTAAATATTAAAGGCATGGGAGTAGATAACTGAACCCACTAGCAAGGCCTTGAGGAACTAGAGGACGCGGAACGAAGGCCGCATGCGATTGCGCTACCCACGAGCAAGTGGGCAACTTGCAGCATGCGATCGGGTCGCATGCGGCAGGATTGCCTCAAAACCCACGTGCAGTTCACGTAACTTTTTGAGTAGGAAACAGAACCGGTATGAAAAATGAGATACGGTTAACAGTATAGTGTGCATTTTTAGAGGCCACACTCGCCCTAACGATTTTGGTTCACAGGCGATAACGCACCCTGGGAGGCCCAGACATTCTCTGGGATAGGGCCACAAACCTATTCAATAAACGCGTCGCCTTCATTTGTTTGGTTTACTCATGAATCCTGTCAGGGTGGTTTTAACGTTAATGCCTTAATATACTTCCACAACCTCCTCCTTTACGATTCTGATGGTGGCCCTGAAAAGGGCCGTTTCTTGGTTTTTTTCTCCCCTTATGCCCGTTCACCTCTGATGCGTCTAGCAAGCTGAATGTCCTTAGGCATGATTGTAACGCGCTTCGCATGGATAGCGCAAAGGTTGGTATCTTCAAAAAGGCCCACTAAGTAGGCCTCGCTAGCCTCTTGCAACGCCATCACTGCCGAACTTTGAAATCTCAAATCAGTCTTGAAATCCTGGGCAATCTCACGAACGAGGCGCTGGAAAGGCAATTTACGTATGAGCAGCTCAGTACTTTTCTGATACCGTCGTATCTCCCGCAACGCAACTGTACCAGGGCGATAACGATGTGGTTTCTTCACACCACCAGTAGCAGGAGCACTCTTTCGCGCCGCTTTAGTAGCCAACTGCTTTCTTGGCGCTTTCCCTCCAGTAGACTTACGCGCCGTCTGCTTCGTACGAGCCATATTACCACAACACTACTTCTCACTACACAGCAGAACTGTCGAACTTTGACTGAATTCAGGGCACCAATTTTGCTCACTTTTATAGGCATTGGATCTCAAGTTTGCTCCGCCCTATTGAGGAGCGAAAATCGTATTGGACAAGAGAAACGTACTTGGCCAATTGGGATTGACGACAATCTATATTCGCAAGTTTGCCCCGCCCCACTGAGGAGCAGAAATCTGATTGGGCAATTGGAATAGACGACAGACTATAAGAGTCGGGGTCTGGGGTCAGGAAAATTTATCTCCCGGAGATTATCTGTAAAGTCAGAAGTAGCTTGAAGTCAGAGGTTGCTGAAGATGACTGGTCGTGGCAAGGGTGGAAAAGGTTTGGGTAAAGGTGGGGCGAAGAGGCATAGAAAGGTTCTGCGGGATAATATCCAAGGCATTACGAAACCTGCTATTAGGCGTCTGGCTCGTCGTGGCGGTGTGAAGCGCATATCTGGCCTTATTTATGAGGAGACTCGTGGCGTGTTGAAAGTCTTTCTGGAGAATGTTATCCGCGATGCCGTAACATACACTGAGCATGCAAAGCGGAAGACCGTGACTGCAATGGATGTGGTCTATGCTTTGAAGAGACAGGGCCGTACTTTGTATGGCTTTGGAGGTTAGAGGCTTCATATGATGGGCGCGTAACATACGCAGCACAAACGGTCCTTTTCAGGACCAACAATTATTTCAAAGGATGGTTTGCTGTTTACAATTAAATCAATACATCTTGTTCTGATTGCACTCTTATTCTACAACGGATCGATCGAAGTGATGGTAGTAGTGTGCGAAGGGTGTAAGCAGAACTACGGTCTCTTTACTGTAGGGGGTCTTTGAACAACGGACAAACTTATCCCGTAGCGAAACATTTTGCGTAAGAAGAATTGGCTGTTGCTGCTGCAAGCGCTTGTCCTTGAGGAACTAGCAAGACAAGTCACGTCGTTTTGCCACACCCTCCGGTTTCTCTTTCACCACTACGTGGCCGTAGATTTCAGTCTGCCCCAAGAGACGCCGTACGTAAATTTACTGCAATATATATATATATATATATGAGACAAACTCCGTCTTAAGTCCAAATATATTGTAGTCCTTCCCTTCCTCCACACTATATGTTTCGGCCCTAAATGGCCATCATCAAGTGTGTATTTTTACGTAGCTGCTACACTGCCCGTAGTTTAAAATTTAAAATCACCAGTCTTTCCAGTTTGTATGAAATCTCTGTTAACCTACACGCGTCAATTTGAATTCTAAAATTTGCACTTTTTTAAAACTTCAATACAAATTAAAATGTCTATAAATCTTCCACGTGTGTGGAGGAAGGGAAAGAGAAAGGACTACAATAAAATTGTTGCACTTAAGACGGAGTTTGTTTCATATATATTGTGTGAGTGTAACTGGATGCTTAAATATAATATTACTGCAATTTGTTTCAGCAGGTCAGCAATATAGACGTTGGCTGACTTGAACAGCAGCTTGGGAAATTCTACCAATTTTTACCAAGTTCTCCCTAGCATAGATCACGTCACATTACGACTGACAGACCGTCTTGGTGTCGTGCCGCAGGTCGAGCAAAAATGTTTCGACGTTCACGAGCGATACGAAGACATTTGGGGCGCCCCCTCTGACGATTGGTCGGGTCTGTAATTTGTCAGTCTTAGTCTATTGTCAGTATTGACATATTTACAATTTAATTCTAGTTTTAATTACTATTTCTATGTACAATATATACAAGCCTGTCAATCCAGGCATTGTACAGCCGAATATGCCCTATTTCTAGTATTACTTGCTACAACGGCAATTGCTGTTAAATAAATGCATAGGTTGCTTCACACTGTACGTTAGTATTACAATTTAATATCAATTACATTGTGAAGACTACAAAAAAAAATTTATATCACATTTTCTGCAATAAGGTGTAGCAAGTGAACACAAATTAGCCCCCCCCCTCCGAACACTCCTTTTATCATTACGGAGGACCAATGAGACAGTCTACACTCAAAACAAAAACAAGGCCATGGGTCCCGATCCCAAGAACGGCCATGCCGGCTTATTGTCGGCAATAAGCTTCTACTCTGCTCTAACTGACCGTCAGTTACACCACTTTTATTTTGTTTAACGAAATTTTGACAAACAGTGCAAAAGGTTATAGAATCATGTAACGAGGAAATAAGGAAACATTAGGGTACATTCGTTCTCATGACAGCGAACTCAATTTGCGCTGCTCCGTTCATGGAACTCAGGCTATCGATAGGGAATCGCAGTTTGCATCTCCCTGGTATGCCATTTTACCTTACACCGTGCATCAAAACGACAAATACCCCTACACAAGTTGGGGCCCTTATAAGGGCCGTTTTTTGTCAGAATATCAGATTAAGCTTTCTTTTCAGTCTTTTTTGGCAATAGAACAGCCTGAATATTAGGCAAGACACCACCTTGTGCGATCGTAACACCAGACAGAAGTTTGTTTAATTCCTCGTCATTGCGAATGGCCAGCTGGAGGTGACGTGGGATAATTCTAGTCTTCTTGTTGTCACGTGCAGCATTGCCTGCCAACTCAAGAACTTCAGCAGCGAGATATTCCATTACAGCAGCCAAATAAACCGGTGCACCAGCACCTACCCTCTCTGCATAATTACCCTTACGCAGAAGCCTGTGAATACGACCCACCGGAAACTGTAGTCCAGCCCTACTGGACCTAGACTTTGACTTTCCCTTCACCTTGCCGCCCTTTCCGCGTCCAGACATCTCTCACACAATATGTAACAGTATAAGAGTACACCACAAAATTTTTCGATGTCTGGCAAAACGTGTCCTTTTGTTCACTTGGAGGAGACAGGACCTAGCCAATCAGAGAACGAGTTCATCATTCTTTTATATCAACTGAGCGGCAGGTCAATCGAACCAATCAGATTGAGAATCGAGACGTTTTACTAACGAGCCAATGAGGTCGAGCATATGAGTTCACACTCGTAATAAAACTAGGACGTTGCGAAACTTATAACGTTAGTGTGCTGTTGTGTACGTGTGTGGAGTTACAAGATACATTCAGTGGTATGCCTCCCAAAGCGTCTGGCAAGGCTGCAAAGAAGGCCGGTAAGGCGCAGAAGAATATTTCCAAAAGTGATAAGAAGAAGAAGCGAAAGAGGAAGGAGAGCTATGCTATATACATTTATAAAGTTCTGAAGCAGGTGCATCCCGATACCGGTATCAGTTCGAAAGCTATGAGCATAATGAATAGCTTTGTTAATGACATCTTTGAACGAATCGCGGCTGAGGCGTCTAGACTGGCCCATTATAACAAGAGATCTACGATAACTAGTAGGGAGATTCAGACCGCTGTACGGTTATTGCTGCCAGGAGAATTGGCGAAGCATGCAGTCAGTGAGGGGACGAAGGCTGTTACAAAGTACACGAGCGCAAAGTAATCTGATATAGTGACAAAAAAAACGGTCCTTTTCAGGACCACCAATATTTGTTTGGAGTGAGCATTGGCTGACTTGTATATTCTGATCAATTAGAAAACTACTTCCGATATATCGGAAGCCAAATGCTATTGTAGGACTTTCTCTGTATGTGGTACATAATGGCTATTTACATTAAGCGAATCTTAGTTCCCGTTATAATCTTGCGACATTTGGCTCTAAATCATTCCTTTTGCTAATATAGAACCTTGAAAGGAGGACTACAGCGTGTGATTTTAACACGAACTAAGTAGCAATTTTAACAATTTAATATAATTCTAACATGTATCAGACCGTGTCTCACGGTGTTGTCGCTTCAGATTTACTTATACTTCAACCCTGAAGATAGGGGCGATACGTTCCTCCGAAACGTCGGTTAACACCACATATACACGGTGCCAAAGCCCAGAAGACTGCTTTCTTCATAGTCACCGCCGTGAAAGCCTCAAATCTTACAAGGTGTATAATGTTAAAAAGTTGAGTGGTGAATGGAAGAGCTGCAATATTGACGGACGATAAATATTGGACGTTAAGTTGAACAATTGCAACGGAATGCTGAAGTACAGAATCAATATGATTTTCTTTAGAAAATTTATGAAAACGTATTAACATTGCTAAAGGAGTTGATGCTGAAATTACGTCGCGGTCATGTAAAGGGTATCTTGTTTACAATATCAATGATAAACTCGTAATTGATAATATTCAGCGATTTGTCACGATAACATTTGAGAAACCATTGTGATTAAGATTTGAGGCTTTCAAGGCGGTGACTGAAGANACGTTACTCCGAAACGTCGGTTAACACCACATATACACGGTGCCAAATCCCAGAAGACTGCTTTCTTCATTGTGATTAAATCCAGCAAGAACTCGTACATTTTGTAAAAGCTTAATTGTAATGCCATGAACTGTAATCTAACAGAACAAGAGTGCATTAAGCTGAACAGCTGATGTATCAACTGGGACAAAGATGCAAATGTTATCAAGCTTTGTGTCATGTATAAACAACGCCAACAACAAAACTATGTAAAGCGATACCCATACTCCAGGAGAATTGTAAGCAATAGCATTAGACTATTTCTGTTATACAATGATATTACAGAAATAGTCACTATGAGATAATATTTAGCATTTGAAAGAAGAACACGGCAGACAAAGGAAATCTTGTTTCAATAGTATAGTGGAGCTTAAGTTCAAAATAAGTTTCTTATATGTGATCAACTGTGGATGACGATGTTATCATTCACTGCACAGCAGTTTCTTTTGCTGCACTGCAACTGCTTGTCACCAGGGTTACTTTCTCCAACTTATGAAACATCTAATGATGCTCATATGACTAGTTGGCACACATGTTTAACAGTAATTCCATAACTGCTGTCAATTTCCAGGGTTGGTATGGGCAGGACATTATAAGGGAAAAATGAAGCAGCATTACTTTCCTAATGACTTACTGATGAGTCAGTATCTTCATCTTCCTCTCTGTGGCCCTCTGCCTGGCTGCTTCAGTCATCAGCGGTACAGCGTGCTAGCAGGATCAGTAGTACAGGATAACCCAACTCTTCCTGCCCATTCCATAGCCCTAACCATATTGTCTCAAAACCCTGAAATAATTCATCAGTAAACATTACAAACATGGTGTAGGTGCTACATTGTGGGGTTACGTTTAATTCAGACACTGGCTAAACTTATTTTCTTCGTCGTATAAAGCAACAGAAAAAGAAGCCATTACATCATGTACTAAAAACAGACATTCATTCATTTATTTATATTCCATGAATCCTTACATGGCTGGAAGAACAGTGGATATAGTAATAGTCAAAAACAACAGGACAAGTCGCATCAATTATATAAACACAAATTAATTATACTTACTCCATAACAATTACACATATTATCAAAGACAAATCACAGTGAGTAAATCATTAACACAGTTATAAATATGTATGTAAAAGAACCCAACACACTAATATGACACAAGACTACTATAATGAAACATAAAAATATACTACTAGGCATCCAGCGTGTAACTGACCAAGATCATTAATTAATATTGAAGTTAAAATATTCTTTCAATGAGTAAAATGAATTTTCATCCCTTTGGTACCTATCTTTGAGATAGGATTTTATCAATGCATTGGCCTTACCAACTATTCCATAAAATCCTACTTCAGGTAGACAGATATTGACACAGTCAAAAGCTTTCTTCAAATCACAGAAAATGCCACCCACTAATATTTTGTTATTCAATACATTTAATATATCATTAATTAATTTATGTGAGGCCATTTTTGTAGATGAATTACTCCTAAAACCATATTGTTCATTTGTTGTTATGTTGCTACTCATTATATGTTGGTGTAGTCTCGCATATATAACCATTTCAACAACTTCTGAAAACGATGTCAGTAATGATATAGTTCTATAGTTAGTCATATTTGCATAATTGGTATTGATCTTGTCAGCTATTGTTCCAAAATTATTATTAATAGAATCTGTAATCACATCATGACCATCAGTTAACTTCCTATAAATGTTTAAAAACTGTATACCTTCAGTATTAATTTTTCTACCTGTGTCTGTAGCTCATTTAATAACACTGGTTTTCTCTAAGTACTTAGGTTTCCCCTGCCAATCTTCATTCCACCAATTGCTCCACAATCACCCTCACCTATCATCTGGGGCTGGGACAATAGGCCAGAAATTTTAGCTGCTAATACGCGCTGTACCCGTAAGTATTTTTTAAAAATTGCTGAATATGCCCAATATTATAGCCTGCCAGACCCTCGGAGAACTGTCCTCCCCTAGCAGAGCAGAGTAGTACGCAACACGCAAGACGGCTGACTCAGCCTAGGCGGCCTAGGCTTCCGGTGCATCGGTAGCGATCGGTAAACACGGCACAAATGCATCGTAATCTGACAAGTACGCAGCTGGGGTTGTACAAACCTCTGGTACAAGCGGTTCCGCGTACACAAAAAATGAGTAATTCGGCAATTTTTAAAAAATACCTGCAGTGCGTATTAGCAGCTAAAATTTTGACAGTGGATTTTGTTGTGCGTACTCTTGAAGTGAAAAAAAAAAAGAATCAGGACAGGTTTCGACATGTCGGATCGGACCATTCCCTTGTTAGTCCCACCCCACTAGCATTAAAAATGCTATTGTATCTTCGTGTGCACCCCATATACCAGTACATGAAGTGCCACACACATAGATGATTGTTTTGTGTTTTCTTGTTAGAATCTAAGTTATTCTCAGCTAAAATAATACACCCCGCAAAGTGTACAACACTGCATACTCCTACACATTCTTCCATTATTTTCCAAAGAACGGAGCCACATGTGGTACAGTACATCCAACAACTGCTATTGGTACTCTTACTGAAACTATTCTATATACAGCTGTATGAAACTTAGACTGCAAAAGTAAAACAAAATATTATTTTATTGCTAATGTGAGTAAAGTAAATTTACATCTCGTCATAGTTCTCGTATGTAACAACATTATTCATATCTCCGTGCTATTTCATATTGTTGGTACGACTGTGATCACGTTTGTAATGGATGGCTGTTGGTTGCAGTGGTTGGAAAAGTAGAATATTAGATTCGGAAAATATTAGTTATTTTTAATTGACAATATGAGCGAATTGGTGTGGGGTATTAAAAATGGTGACTTAGATCAAGTCAAAGATATTGTTGAACAGAAGGTAAATTGTGGTGACGTATAACCCCGGGCGCATTGAAAATGCGAAACGATGTTAACGGCGTTTATACTGTGAATGTCGGTTTATTTTATTTCACTTGTTTCAGGAGATAGATGTCAATAAAGAAATTGATGGCCGACCGCCCCTTCATTATGCTGCAGATTATGGTCAAGGGGATGTTATACAGTACCTGCTGTCAAAAGGAGCTAATGTGAATGTATGATGTACCATAATCCAAATAAGTTTTAATTCCGAAAAATTCAGTCTGCAGGGATACAACGCCGAATTTCCGAATAGTCTGTTCAAAGTCAACCGACGTTTTGGAGGAATATGTTGCCTCCATATTGAGGGTTGAAGAGAAAGCCATGCAAGGAACCTGCATGAAGCAGACAGAATGCAGATTTTGACCAGAGTACACTGTGATATATCCCAGAATTCAAAACTCTTCATCGTATTTTATGTATCACTGTTATAACACAGTATATCAGTAAATTTCCTGCTTGTTTGTTGCTTGCCCTATTCTTAGTACTGGAGGTAACATGTTCTACCAAAACACTGGATGACATTCAGTGGACTACAAGATGTTATATCCAGAAAATAGAACATGATATGTGTTTCAATTGAAAGTGATTTCTGTGTTTAGGTTGTTATTTCTAAAGTCTGTGAAATGAAATGGAATAAACCTAGATGAACTTTGTATGAGATGAAAATGGTGACCTGATCACAGATTCTCACAGTATGTTAAGTAGATGGAAGAAATATTTCTTTCAGATGTTGAATGTAAATGGGACTGTTGTCTGTAGGCAAACTGAAACACATAGAGCCAAGCCATTAGTAGCTGAGTCTAGTTATTTTGAGGCCAAAATTACTTTTAAAAAGTTTGGAAAATATAAATCACCATGTATTGGGGTTAGATTCCAATAGAATTGATCCAAGCAGGAAGTAAAATATTTATGTTCTCACATCTAGAGATGTGGTATTCTGTTTGAAATAAGGAAACAACATATTCTTACACCAATTTATAAAGGGGTACAAACATTTAATTATCAAGGAACATCACTAATACCATGTAAAATATTCTTTCCAACAATTTTCTGTCAAAGTTAACTCCCTACATAGATGAAATTATTGTGGATCATTAGTGTGGATTTTGACATAGCAGCTGAACTTCTGATCAGCTATTCTGCATTTGTCAGATACTGGAGAAAAAAAAACAGAGTCTGATGAGATAGTCCATCAGCCATTTAATGACTGTAGGAAGTGCTGTACAACATTCCCATTGAATTTGGTCCACCCATGAAACTAGCTAGAATTGTCAGAGATAATTTATCGCTATTGCTTTTAAACTTGGCTTCAGTATATGCCATTAGGAACTTCCAGGAAAATCAGGCTTTGGATTTGAGAGGACAAATCACTTTCTGATGTATGCTGATAATGGTAATTTATTGGGTAGAAATATAAATACCATACATGTCACTGGAGTTAAAATTTAAGGATAGCTGAAGCAGTTCATAAAAAATCTTGAAATCCTGAGGCTGGAGAAAATTGCATGAGCAACTTCATAATCTGTACTTTTCACCAAATATTAATGATATGATTAAATCAGAGATGATATGGGTTTGGAATAGAAGAGTTGAGAAACATATTTTAGATGTCTTTTATATTTAAAAAAAAATATATTGTTGCATTATTGACGGATGCTTTAATAACAAGGATTTGCTTAGTGGAGTTACTTGCACATGTGCAGTGGCCCAGGTGAAATCCTCAATCAGGTCATATGGAATTTGTGGTGGACAAACTGGACCTGGCACAGGTTTTCTCCAAATACTTCAGTTTCCCTTACCAATTCTCATTCAACTGAATATGTTACACTCATGTGTTATCTGGAGTTGGTACAATAGGCCCACTAATGGCTGGTGTACCAAGTGGACTCACTCTAACTCCACCCTCCAAATTAAAAGAAATTACACATGTGTGCATACATGTAATGCATGGATTCATATTGACAAGTAATGCACATTTTTTGTTTTCAGGCTAAAGATAAACATGGAATTAGTGCTCTGTTAGCAGCTATTTGGGAAGGTCACACAGATTGTGTGAAACTACTTCTGGAACAGGTAAGTCAATGAAGATCTGTTGGATTCACTTCCAGAATAAACTGTGTCCACTCAGATCAGTTGCGTAACTATGTAAAAACATTATGACCGTGCTTCTGAACACACATCATAGTTGGCATAGTTATTACAGTGGAGTACTGAAGTAGTTCCCTTGTCGTTCTTTGTGATGTTTCATCAAATGTTCAGTCTGAAGAAGAGCATCCCTTCTAGCACCTTGTGAAGTAAAGTTGGTACTTCCGACTTTTTGATTAACATGTATCCTTATTTGTGAGTATTCAGTGATGCTTCCAGTATTGAGACTGTATAGGATCAGATTGTAGGGTGACATGAATTGGAAGGAACTGGTCATGGCCTAGATAAGGTACTCTCCTAGCATTTGCCTGGAGAGACTGAAGAATACATGAAAAATCTGCCAGGATAGCTGGTGACCTGGCAGAGATTTGAACAAAGCTCCTCCTGAATACAAGTATAGAGTTTCACCTTTAGACCAAACTGTTCAGTGCTTGATATTTTGTCAGCAAGTTTTGTTTTGGTTTGTATTTAACAAGATATGATACATATAAAAGTTTATGTAGGTGTTCATGTATATACCTGACCTTATTGTCCTGTATGGTCACTAAGAGGCACATATTTACCACATAAGGTGTTCTATCATTTTCCTTTGCAAAGTGAACACTGCCCCCCTCCCTCTTGCCTATAGGTGTTGACAAGCAAATTATTCCTGATGCCTCATTCACATTATCAATTCCAGTTGACACAGCATGGTAAATAACCAAAGAATCATTCAGTATTTGTATCATTGCTTGGAAGAGTATTTCCTGTTATGGAAATTATTTTTATAGGGAGCAATGAAGGATGGCAGTGCACCAGATGGTACAAGTTATGTGGATGCTGCTGAGAAGGAGGAGATCAAGCAACTTCTGAAATGAGAAGAGAAGATAACATGTTACTTTAGCCATTTTGGGCTTTGTTAAAATTGTTAGGCTTTGTGAACAAAGGAATGAACAAATAATTTTCGGAAATAATGTCTCAAATGGTGATAACTGGGTTACTATTAATTTTTTAAATTTGTTGCTAGCTTATCACATCAATTCAATATGTTGTATGAACACTACTATAACATACCATTACGTGTTCTATGAATACTCATGTTATAAAATAAATTGCAGAGATGTCCTCTCCCAGCATGTGACTGGTAACTTGAACTTTGGGCTAGAACTAAGTTACGAGTAAACTAATTACCTCCAACCCTAGCTATGCTGCTGATTTTCAGGCTCAAATCCAGTATTACAGTCATCATAAGGTGCACTGGGGCATGGCATAATTTATGGTAGTCTTGTAGTTTCAGTGATCCACCCAAAGCAGTGCGTAAAGCTTTATATGAGGACATATTTATGTGATCTGTTGAGTGCATTTCATTGCAGGGCAACCAACATAAACACAAACCTGATGCAACTGCTCAATATTCAGCTAGTCTGTTTCCTGTTTTGTGTGTTGGCTTGTGCTGTATGAGTTCTTGTTATGTAGTCATATTTATTATATTGCAAGTGTGAGATGCCATGCTGCCCAAGGGGTATGATCAGATCTGTCCCAGTTATAGACTATATAAGGTACATAAAACAAACTGTGTAGTGGTACTTATTTTTTCATATGTCATACTTTTGTTAAGAACATCTTCACAACCTGTTTCTTGTTGGCCTAAAAATTGATGGATCAACGAATTGATCGAAATAAGAGATGGATAAATATAGAACTATTTTTTATGTGTTTAAAATAAAAAATATATATCTAGGTAATATTTATCTTCCTATATCTGTCCAACTTTTGATTCCCATGTTATAGAGGTGGAAGACTGTCCTGGATAGATGTAGTCTACCTGCTGTGTACGATAATCCTTCTAAGCTTCAGCATAAGGCTGTAAATATTTGTAGTTTGTTAATGAACATTTTTAAATGCTTTTTAAAAAGTGCTTGTTGCCACCCTCTAGAGTTGGTGTTGAAATTCTGTGTAATTGTTGACTTCTGCAAATTCAAAATATGAAGATGTATTATTTGTTAAATATTAAACTTTCCTATCTAGTGTTTTATATATACTGTATTTTCTTTTAGTGTCAGGATGTCATATTCAAAAAGTTTGTAATTAAAAATACTAATAACCTTGACTAGAAATAAATTTATTATTCTTTTGGAACACTGTGCACCATTTTGTTTCAAAACCTTTCCAACCATTCAAGACAGTGGCCAACATTAGGGATGTCTTATGGACCATTAGTTCTGTTTATATTTATATGTATATACATAGTCTCCCGGGTGTTTGGTGCCATACTTCAGGAGCGTACTCAGGGTTCCCTATAGAACAACTTTGAAATAGGAACCCATGTCTGCAAACGTAAAATAGCAGCACTAGGACAGCATTTAATATTTTGTTTAAACCTGGCGCCTCAATGTCGAAGACCATGCACAGGCATATTACCCCCTCCAAACTCTTTAAGACTCGCCTGCTAGAGTAGATGTTGGAATTGGCACCCTCTATTTTCAATGCATGCATTACATCTACGAAAGAGACATTGGCGCACCCTTTAAAATATTCCAGGTGTCTCACGGATCACGTCACATGCAACGAGTATTCTGGCCAACAGCTCAAATTCATTATCCACAGGCGTGTCGTAGATCAGGCTTTTCACATGGCCCCAGATGAAATAGTACAGAGGTGTCAAGTCTAGGGATCAGGGTGGCCAATGGACTGGGCCTCCTGTTCCTATCCAACGACCATGAAAAGCAGCATCCAGGTAGTCTCGTGATACAATGCTGAAGTGTGCCAGCACTCCGTCATGCCGTATCCACATTTGCCTCCATACAATCAGTGGCACGGTTTCTAGCACAGTTGGAAGGATACCTTCCAGGAACACCTTGTAAAAGGGCCCATTGAGTCGCAGTGGTAGGAGGAAAGGCCCAATCAAGTGATTGCCAATGATGCCTGCCCAGACATTGACAGAAAATTGTGCCCGGTGGTAAACAACTACAGTAATTAAGATCTAAAAGTTTGTGATGATGGTAAATTGTTACAATTAATATGTCTGGAGATAGGGGCTAGCTGTGTCTATTGGACCCAACTGAGTAGGTTTTACCTGAAGATGGGGACAGATTCCAGTTCCCGAAACGTTGTGTTTTAATAGAAACTAGACGGTTTTTAAAGAACAGACAAGATGATGGATAATGTCCAGCAACATATTAATTGAAACTACACTAATGTCAGGATTTTGGTCAGCCCAAATGTGGCTGTTTTGACAGTTGAACCAGCCATCCCTTGTAAACTGCACTTTGTCTGTGAATAACACGTGATTCAGGAAGTTGGGTTGATGTAAACACTGGTTCAGTTTCCACTGACAAAATTGAACTCGTGGTACAAAGTCAGCTGGACCTACATCATGTACTCGCGTTGGATGATATGGATAAAATTCGCGGTCGTGCAAGATCCTCCAAACACTTGATTTTGATGTCCTCACAATCTTGGCAATGGCACGAGTGCTGGTGGATGGCTGTTCCTCTATGCAACGCAGTTCGACATTGAGGCGCCAAGTTTAAACGAAATGATTTTGAATGCTGCCCTAGCGCTGCTCTTTTACGTTTGTGGAGATGGGTTCCTATTTCAAAGTTATTCTATAGGGAACCCTCAGTACGCTCCTCAAGTATGGCACCATACTCCTGGGACACCCTGTATAACTGTCAACACAACAAATAAGTAATCAACTCACAACCACATTTGTATCAGTTGAGTTCATTAACTATGTTAAAATTACGCGACGTTTTGAGTCAATTGGAACCATTAACAGGTGATACACTATTTAAAGTTATAAAATATGGAACTGTAATTATAATTACTATGGATCCATATTACAACCAGTTCTCCCCCTCCACTTATTTTTCCAAACCAGCTCAATACACCACCATTGTCTCCAAACAATCTACATCGAACCGACGCGCAGAGTAGAACACATCGAACACATATACTATAACTGATCACTACCTACTGGTGTAATTCTTAAATATTAACACTTCTTACTTATTACCAATTTTATACTAAGTGTGACTTATGCCCAGTTTTGCATTAACTATTCTAAGAATTTTTGGCATGAAATGTTCAGATAAAGGCTACTAGAATGGTCTATGATAGCTGGTGCGGTAACACGAATCGCTTAATCCCATCCCACCAGCCTGATAAAAGAACTTCCAGAATGTTCTCAATCAGTAGAAATATAATGAAGCTTCAGAAGAAAGCAGAAGGTTCTAGAATGTTATGTCACCAACGGTATTTAAAGGACCAATCCCAGATGGCGAGGAACAAGCAAGAAAGATTAGACATGAAATAAAAACAACCACACAGGCTGGGAGATTAACATATCATATCCACCACCAGGTAGTGTTGTGAATGTTAAAGTTGTGTATGGTGCATGCAAAAAGTGCATCTGTGATTGTGAGTGACTGCTATGTAACCTGTGTAGTACTGTTAAATAAGTCAAGTACATTATTACATCAATAGCAAGTGTGGTACAGGGACTTCTTCACAGAAACCTGTCTCTCGTCCGAGTAAGGCCCGTTAAGCCCTAAAGGAGAATCTCATTGCTTGAACCTTCAACATTGTCCTCTTCCTACTAAAAAGGCACCTCGACGTGGTTTAAGGCCATGTAACATTCACATGGCAGAGGGTGTAGAAGAACTATTACAATATGCCCAGGCAAGAAACACATATGCCATATTGTATAATTGTAAGTAATATCATCACTAATGTTTATAAAACTTCCTATATTCTTAATCATTAACACTTACACATCAACTTATATACATTTTTTCACGATCACAGATATAAAGATACATATTGTGGAAATAGGATACCAATATACCACACACTAACAACCCGTACATCGTAGTATTAAACATGTCAGTGATACACGTTATTAATAGAGTCACGTTAATATAGCACATTCAAAAACAGTAACATACAGATGTTCATTTATTGCAGAGAGAAACTTGTCTTTGGGCTCCACAACAGGACTTACTACGTAGAAAGCTTCTACAAAAGACCTACAAACAACATTCATGCACAATTTTCTACATAAAGATAGGAAACATGTTTTGAAAATGTGGCACAGTTCAGATATTTAGGAACAATGATAACAAATCAAAACCTGATTCAGGAGGAAATTAAGAGACTGAACTCAGGTAATGCTTGCTACCATTCAGTCCAGAACCTTTTGTCTTCTTGTCTGCTGTCCAAAAACATAAAAATTAGAATATAAAAAACTCATTGCCTGTGGTTCTGTATGGGCATGAAACGAATAATATAGTGGTTCCATCACTCGGGATCTCGTGAAACAAACTGCCTAGCTTTTAGCTGGATTAATTATCGCATTTTCAGCTGCCCACTCTCCCAGCCTGTTCAGATCTATCTGCAACTTTTCCATATCCTTATTTTTTATAATTGTCCTATATATTATACAGTCATCTGCAAAAAATCAAATAGCTGACTCAGTATTTTTCCAAATATCATTTACTAATGCCAGGAACAGCAGTGGACCCAGTGCACCTCCTTGCGGTACTCCTGACGTTACTGTAACTGCCTCTGGCAACTACCCTCCTACTCTAACTCTCTGTGTATGTATGCCAGGAACAGCAGTGGACCCAGTGCACCTCCTTGCGGTACTCCTGACGTTACTGTAACTGCCTCTGGCAACTACCCTCCTACTCTAACTCTCTGTGTACGGCCCAAAAGGAATTCCCTTATCCATACAACTACCCTTGAGTTCAATATCTTTTGTATTCCTCAAAATCAGCACGATCATGGTAAGGAGAAAATTTTTATATCCTGTTGAAACTAGTACAGTAGAACAATTTGTATGTGGAAAGATTGCAAAACATGCTAATGTGGATAGCAGAAAATTCTGGATACCAGGAATTCATTACAGAGATACAAGAGGTTTCAAACAGAATTGTATGCTGCAGAGGCACTGAACCTGGTACAGCATGGGGAAGTTTAGGCATATACTTTATATTTTCACAATGCACTTTTGAAACTTTCACAAGATTTGTTATGAATAACAGGAGTTTCAGATTAAATCACCATGTATCATTCTTATCCAACCATAACTAGACTGCACAACAGTTTCTATACTCTACTGTGTGTCACTGCATCATACAGCTGATGAATGCTAAATAATACTGGCATACAAACATAATACTAAGTTTTTGAAGTTAATCTCTACACTTTGGGACTAATGATACAGAAGTTGTGCTGTAATCAAATAAGATCTTCTGTTAACATGTTCTTCTTCGGCCGCACCATAGCTCAAATGGTTAGTCACTGGCTTCCCACTGCGGCGGCCTGGGTTCAATCCTGGGTCTCGTGAAGTGGGATTTGTGGTGGACAAAGTGGCGCTGGGGCAGGTTTTCTCGGAGTACTTTGGTCTCCCCTGCCAATCTTCATTCCACCAACTGCTCCAAAATCACCCTCACATATCATCTGGGGCTGGTACAATAGGCCAGATGTGGCCAGAGTACAAGGGACTTAGTCCCATCCCACTAGCAAGAAAAAAACACATTCTTCAATAAGGAGGCGCATTGGATATGGTTACCCACTCATTTATTCCTCTATGTTACAAAAGTGAATGAATTCAGGTCCAACATCACAAACAATTTAATGAATTCACAGCAACTCTAGTCCTCAGCTCTACTGCACAGTCAGGAAGATATGCCACACAGAAGCCAATAGTTTACAGGAGTCGGCCCCGGCAGTCATTAGACCCACAGTAACAGTGTAACACTTTTCCAGGGACACTTCCCACATCATAGTTATAATCCCAAGTCAGCTCTGTTCCAGCATGGATGTATGTCAGTGCAAAGAATGCCACCCATGGGAAACGCAAGTCATGGGTGTCCACAAACACATTTTGGACAAACACATTCGGACTGCAAGAATGCTGAAACAAAATAAACCAAATGCAAGTTTCTCAAAGTAGCAAATTTCTTTCTCAACAATGCTGAATATATAACAACATATAGGTATGGTACTTACTCACTCTTTTAGGCCGCGCCATAGCTCCAGCGGTTAGTCGCTGCCTTCCCACCGCGGTGGCCTGGGTTTGATCCTGGGTCTGGTCAAGTGGGATTTGTGGTGGACAAAGTGGTGCTGGGGCAGGTTTTCTCCAAGTACTTCGGTTTCCCCTGCCAATCTTCATTCCACCAACTGCTCCACAATCACCCTCACCTGTCATCTGGGGCAGGTTTTCTCCAAGTACTTCGGTTTCCCCTGCCAATCTTCATTCCATCAATTGCTCCACAATCACCCTCACCTGTCATCTGGGGCTGGTACAATAGGCCAGAAGTGGCCGCAGTACAAGGGACTTAGTCCCACCCCACTAGCAATAAAAAAAATACTCACTCTTTTCTCCTTCATATATCTACCACTGAATTTAGGGAGGAGATGCATTATGCTAATTGTTTTTATATTGGTTCTGGGCTGTGCCATAGCTCAGGTGGTTAGTCACCAGCTTCCCACCACCATCACAGCCTATGTTCAATCCCATGTCAGGTCATATGGGATTTATGAACAAAGTGGCATGGGGACAGTTCCCCTGCCACTTCTTATTCAACCAACTGCTCCATACCCATCTGGCATCTGGAGGTGGTATAGTAGGCCAATCAAGTGCTGATCATCGTACCCCCTGGAGAGAAAAAAAAAACCTATATGCACAATTTTCTTTCTCTGCATTTTACAGAATTTCAGTGACTGTTGCTCCAGTTACTTATTACCTTGACATTCAATCTCTGTAGTCATATCACACACAAGTTCTGAAACTCACACTTAACGACTCTGAAAATGTTTTAGGACTGACCCTTCCAACCTCTGGACAAAAGGCAAGGAAATGAATAATCCTTTTGAAAATAATTTTATATGTTCCTGGATAACTATTAGTGATAGTGAGTGACAATAGGATTAATATGACTGAAGCAGTCAGTAGTGTAACCACGTACTTTACTTGACAGTAATTTTTATACGTAGTATGTGAGATAATCTGCATATGATGAATTAAAAATGATGTGAAAGAAATCAGTTGTGGCCTATTTTAAGTTACTCTCCCAGCCTGGAGGGAACGAGGAAAACCAAGACATCCTTACATTAGTCAGTCTTCGGGTCAAAATTTGGATTTGAATCCGATCTCCTAACTATGAAGGAACGATGCCAATCACTCAGCTGTATCAACTGATCTGTAACTTGATGACTGCACAAATACATGTAGCAGCCACCTAAATGTTCAAATTTGATATACTTAATGGAAATTGAATGCTCACCTTAATATAAATAGCATATTGGCAATAATGATCTCCATCAAATTATGTTCCCTGGATATTCCTCTGCATTCTAATCATATCAGTGAGGTATGTGGATGAGGTTAAGACTTTTTTTTCAGAGGTTGTTTTTCATTAAATATCCTTGAGCTACAAGTGCACAAGTCTCAAGCAGACTCACATTGAGGTACCGTCCAATGTTTCCATTGTTCTTGGCATCCATAATGTAGCAGTACTCATCATGACCAAAGAATTCACGGACAGATCGATTTTTGGGTTTCTTGGCTTTATCACTTTCCTTTGGTTCTGACACAGCAGCGAATCGTGATGGCTGGCGTACTAAGACAAAAAGAAACATGAATATGTGCAAACTGTAGGGAATACATGATCAGTTTTCAAAAGTGCTTTAAACACATTTTATTCAGCACAACTAATTTCATGGGTACTCCAAACTTTGTGAGAATACTGTACAATACTTCCCTCCTAACTGAATCATAGGCTTTCTATATGTCTATGAATAGATGATGTATTGTTTTGCTGTAATCCCATTTTTTCTCCAGTGTCTGACAAATGCAAAAAGAAAATTGGGTCACTAGCTGATCTGTCATGTCGAAACCCACACCGATAATCCCCAATAATTTTATCTATGTACGGACTTAACCTTGAGAGAAGAATATTGGATAAAATTTTATATGAAGTTGATAGCAGTGATATCCCATGATAATTGCTGTAGTCATTTCTATTACCTTTCTTGTAAATCTGTATGATAATAGACTCCTTCCAGTGATAAGGCAATTCTTCCTTATTCCAAATAGAATAAATGAGTTTATGGATCCAAGACCATATTTATTTTACCTGCTGCTTGAATCACTTCAGCTGCAATTTGATCTTACCTGGCAATTTATACTTTTTCAACTTTGCAGTAGCAATTTTAACCTTAAGAGGACTAGGATCAGGTACTAACAGCATAGCTGTATATAATTCTGTCTCCCTAACATCACTGACCATATGCACATTCAATAACTGAGAGAAGTAGTTCTTCGACTTATTCAAAATATTGGGAATCTGCAAGCAGATCATCATTCTCATCCTTCACTAAGTCACTTGTAGGATGGTAACCTCTCTAATATTCATTTAATCCTCTATACATGTCTCTAATGTTCTTGTTCTTAGTGTTTGTAGCAAGCTCTTCAATTTTGCCTTTCAGATATTCCTGCTTTTTATTTCTGAAATAATTTTACTGTACACCTGCTGATTACCACGGAATAAATACAAAAAAAAAAAAAAAACTGTGGTTTTAGTCCACAAGAGAACTATACCAACCAAGCGACTGCCACTTGTTGGTGAAGTTAGTGCCAACTTTAGTGTATAGAGGGTGTCACATGATCAGCGCGATGAATCCCCACGACCGTTAATTTCAGCTTTCTAGACCAGAATCATTAATAACCATTACACAAAAATTAAAATCTTAAATATTTTCTTACACAGTTCTGAATCTTCATCATCACTGTCATTGTGTTCACTGCTACTCATGCTTCGAGAAGACTTCTTCCTTGAATCTGCAACTGAAACAGAAGAAGTTAAATTAACATAATATAATCGCAATTATGTTAATAATAAAACAGGAGAATTTTTGATATTTGTTCCTATGATTCAGTCACATGCACAATCACAGAAACAGAAATTAGTCATGCCTTAAATAATTCACATCTGCTCTTTAAGAAAAATATTTTTGAGTGATACTGGAAGCATTAGTTACAGGAATAGCAGCTAAAGTTAATGTTAATAAAATTTCAAGGTTAATGTATCTATTTTGAAGCCCTGACTGAAGGACCACAATAGGAGATGACAAAATATACAACAGGTGTTATTTCTTCATGTCTCATTCGTTTCCTTTTTTTTTTCTTTGGGGGCATCAGAATGGCCACATGGATGACCTACAGACGTGACTATAATATTAAAATGGGTCTTTCAATTATAGGAGGGGAAGTTGAGGATTGGATTCACATGACTCAGGAAAGGGATCAGTGAATGGCTCTTGTGAACATGGTAATGTCCTTCAAACTCCATAAAAAGCAGTGAATGTCCTGAGGAGCTCAGTGACCTCAGGACATGTCAGTGTCTGGTAAAATTGGATAAGTGGGACCATGAGACATGTATCTCTTATGCCCAGACAACAACTGACTGTCTTACCAGGCTACTCAGTAAAAATGAGGTGCACACCATTCATAAATTTAACAAAACAGTTATCTATCTTAGACTAATCAGAGACAAACAATAAGGCACAAAACTCTGCATATAGAAGACCCTCTGCTCCTGTGGCAAAGTATACACTGGTCAGACAGGTCATTACATCTTCAACAGAACCTGAGGACCATCATAAACATCAGACTACAGATTCAATGACCAGCAGCAGTCAGACATTCTACTGCGGCCAAACACAGCATCAACTTGGATGAAAGCTGAAGCCATAGCTAACATCTAAACTTACTATCCCTGGATGATCAGGAAAGACATCACTATAGTCAAGGAAGCCCACTACTTCAACAGTAAAGATCAAAAGTGTATAGTCTTGACTGCATCTCTTGTCCTTCAACTTTCCTTCTTAACCACATGATCCCTTCTCACTGGATACCACCACATAACACACCCCCACCCTCTTCCCACTGTAAAGTTGTATGTCATTTTCCTCATTCTATCTTATATTCACGCTGAAGATGGCAACTGCAATGTGCACTGAAAAGTTGATGTTTCAACATGTAAGGTGGCTAAGCCCTTAAAGACTAAGTTACACGTCAGACACTGCCCACAGAAATCTAAGCACACAAACTCTTTTAACTGTTTTGTCTGAAGTCTTACTTCTGTCTTTGTTATTAGCTTTATTTAAATCTCACCACAATTCTTTCTCCTTACCAATATCTGCTTCTTTATCTTTTGGATCATTCTGGCTATCATCAGACCCATGACGAGAATTCCGATTCCTCAGTCGTGTTCTGGGAACAAAACAAACATTAGTATTCCTCCTGAAGGTATGTATATGTGTCCACCTAAATATATTCATCACAACTGATAACTGCTGCTTGTTCTTGAGCCCACTGGCTGCAAGCCAGCATCATAACTTGCACATGAGCTGCATGCACCAATTGTAAATCAAAAGTATGTCTATGCACACAGTGCAAATAAGCAAAACCCCATCTTTGTTACAAGATATGAATCGAGGCTATGGAAATAGGAAATGGAAATGAAGCAAAATGTAATGGCCTTCAATCAAACACACGATGCAGTCATGACTGAGGATATTCCAAAATAAACTTTTCTGTTTAGACCAGTCTGACTGAACATATAACTGATCATTTTTCTCCCATTTGAAGACTATTATTTTGCATAACAACACAAGAGTTGGTGTTTCAGATATATAAAATAAAGTATCCCCCGATTTAGCCATGTGGTAACTTACTACAGCACTTAAATGTTCTAGAAAAGGATTTTATATTACAGTGTGAAGTGGGTCTTATTTACCGGATAGAGCTCTGTTCAGGCAAAGGGTTTCCAAGTCCTTTCTCCCAGGGAGCCAGCTGAAATTCTTCATCAGAATCTCTTGCATCCTGACTTGTTTCACCTTCTTCTTCCTCTTCCTCTTCCTCCTCCTCTTCTTCACTCAGACCTGAATCGGCTGAAAATGGGCACTTGTGTAACAATGCTTCAGCAATTGCTATTATACACATGACAACAATATTCAAGACTACAATGTAAAACTACATACAGCCATGTACTTGCCGCAAATGAAGCATACTTAAACCAAAAATAAATACAAAAATACACATACAAATAAAATCCTAATTCTACGGTAGGAACCTTCGAGGTTAAGCAGGGTAGCTAGAAAAGAACTCCAAAGTTTTGGTTATAAATATTTATTCACCCCTTAATCATAGAGTTGGTACATTTAAAAAAAACTTAGCACAAAATCTGTCCAAGTTTTAGTGACATGAATTCTAGAGATGACAGCACTGCACCATGACAAGTTGGGACTGCAAGAAAGCAGGAGTCATTCAGTCACTGCATTGCTGCAGGAAAAGGCACAGTGTTGTAGTACATAGACTCAGAGTCTGTAGTGACCATTCAGAGAAACTTTTGGTGGGTGTGTATCTGAAAGATGCTCCAACTTATAAATGTATTTGTAAGTGGTATCAACAGGTTCAAGAAACCAATAGTGTCTTGAAAGGACATTCCACCAGGTAGACCAAGCACATCAAAAGATGACACTCAGTGCATTCAGGTATTGTAACCACTGCCGAAGAATCCAATACGCTCTGAGCCGCCAACTTCTGACACCAAAATGTCACGTGTAGGGTGGTATACGTGACGAGAATGACGGGTTCTAGTTCAGATGACTGGATTTATTAGCATCTTGGTTACAACCTCTCTAAATCACACTTAAATTACAGCTGATTTACACACTTCATAATTCACTGTTGCACACACTCTAGTCCTCTCCGGGTAAGTATCTCAACACGGAAATTAATGCTTCAAATCACACTTTAAATCTTCAGAGGTGTTCTATGAACTTCATGTGGCTGTCGCTTAAAACACTCTCACTGTTACTTAGACATGAAACACTTAAACACCTAAACACACTGAAATACTCTTAAATATTGCCTTGGTTATTCCTGGAATCCCATTATTTAGTCTCTGTACTGACCATTCACAGAAAAGAGCCTATAATGTTGTAAAGGACTGTTTACCGCAATGCTGCTTAGCAGCGAGCACAGCTTGGCTCAGCTCGGCTCGGCTCAGCATGGCACGACGCGGAGAAAACACCGCTTTCCTTATTGTTGGTAATTGCCATGTTCACATATTTCTGTGGCTCAATGATTCTTGCTTGGTGTAAATACACCACAATGTGTACCACCAGTGTTAACATTAAAAGATTTGTGTACTATGCCCAAGAGTGCATGTATGTGTTTAATTGATTGAATAAACAGTGATTATTTCTTTAATCAGCATTAACAAGTTGAATTCTGTACCATACACGCTGTACTCGTACTTTCTGTTGGGTAGGAAACAACTGTGATGTATTATTTAAATTAACTTGAAATTTCAACGAGTTAAACTGTGCCACGTGGCTTCGTAAAAGAGAAGAAAGTGAAGAATGATCAGAATTCCAGTTTACCTTTCGACTTCCTGGCCTCACTGTGGTCTTTCACATCAGATGGTGAGTCACTGTCATCCTCCACAACATCACTCTCATAGCCCTCCTTCAGCTTCTCCACTACTTCAATGTAGTCCAGTTCCGCCAGGTACTCGTCCCCATAGTTCTTGCCTCCCTGTGCAAGTCAGTAACACTACACTCCACCAAGCACAGAGATCAAGGCTTGTGATAACTTATAACAGAGTGACACAATTTACGGCTTCATAACTTGAACTTTTTGCCAAGCATAATTAGAAGGATCAAGTTAAGAAGGCTGAGATGGGCAGAGCATGTAGCATGAATAGGGACGATGAGGAATGCATATAGAATTTTTGTGGGAAAGTCAGAAACAACTAGGAACACCAAGATGTAGGTGGGTGGATAATATTAAAATGGATCTTAGAGAGATAGGATGGGATGGCATGGACTGAACTGATCTGGCTCAGGTAGGGGACCAGTGGATGGTTCTTGTGAACAGTGTAATGAACCTTCAGGCTCCATAAAATGCTGGAAAATTTTTGTGCTGCTGCACAACTGGTGGTTTCTCAAGGAGGGCTCAGCTCCATGGAATTAGTTAGTTATGACACTATCTGTGTGGAATACCACAAGTTAAGATCATTTAACTGATCTGAATGTGATGATTTTCATAGTACATTTGTATATGGTGTAGGAATTACTGAATAGTAAATAAAAAAATTAATTACTTTATGTTCAGTAATATTAAAGGTGAAGGTTTTCAGTTGATTGCTAAATTGCTTTTATTTCTGAGAGTAAGTTCTGTTTATGTGGCAAACAGCGCTAGTGGTTACAAGAAAATACTGAGATTACAATGTTCTGCGATGCAACACCAAGCAATTTGGCACTAAGGTATTGGAAGATCCAGCGTCTCTCACGGAGATGGAGACAAAAGGTAGGTACCTACCTACCAATCTATTTGGCATTATATCACAAAAAGTCATAGTGTCAACAATCACTGCCAAGAGAGCTCTGAATCTCATGAAGGTACCAAATATGTCTGAAGGGGACACAGCCCATTATGATTCCTGAAGTACTGAAAGCATATGAAGTGCTAAAATGCCTGACACTAGATATTCTTACTTGGCAGAAATGAACTATCATTGTGTAACTACTTGTATATGCATATAATACAAGATCTACTCGACTCTACTCTTAGCCTTAAACTATGTTTTAAACATGTTTACAAGCTGTGTGCAAGTAGTAAACAGCAAAGATTTTAAGAACTACGAGTACAAACTAAAAATCTTGTTATTTTAGTGAATAACTTTTCAGAAAACATTCCTGGGTCATGCAGTGGAAGGAGGGATAATGATAGAAATGAAAGTTTTAAACAAGTCAGAATTACAAATTTATTAATACAGAACTGTAACAATTACGATGGACTGGCCACATAAACAGCAAGGGTAGAAGCAGCATACCAAGAAGCATGTTCATAATATTCATCATAATTGACAAGAGACCTTACAGATGATGGAATACAGGTTGAAGTTCCTACAATAAATGAAATATAGGAGTCAATCAAGATGCAAAAAATCCCATAAGGCTCCTGGCAAAGATGGAATCCCAGTGGAGAATCCTTAACACCAACAATGCACCAGCTCATGTGTAAGATATGGAATGATGTAGAAATGCATTGTGACTGGAGGGATCTGCTCTATCTATAAGAAAGGGGATGAATCAATATCCTATAACTGTCGAGCAATCTCCCCTCTTTCTATTACATATAAAATAGTAACTATATTATAATGAGAAGACTTGAACCCATTGCTCTGCAAGTGATCAGGAATATCAGGCCTGATTTTGGAAAAATAGATCTACCACAGACCATACATTTACTGTGAAACAAATATCCAGAAAAATGTTGGGAACACAGTGTGAACTGAAAAATACTATCTTATGGGATATAACACCATGTAGTCCATTGAAAGCCAACCAATGTTTCAGAGGAAAATATAGCCTATATCTTCAGGGTTGAATAATAATGCATAATGTAGACCTGTTGCTTAGTAATGACTTGGTAAACAGTGCTCACTGCTAGGCAACGCATTCCTGACAAACAACAACTGAACTACAACAGTGAGGAGCAGTATTTTGTATTCAGTCCATGGCAAAGGGTTAAAAGCAGGACAAAGTTTAGAGCTCAGCCACTTGTGGGATATTTGCCAGTCATTATGGACATGGTTAAGATCCATTACCAGAAAAAGACTAGTGAAGGCTACAAGACTTATGTGTGCTGCAGTTACAGTGATTTTTAGGGTGTGTATACCAGTGAGGGTGCTACAGTTACTTGCAGTTACGAGCTATGTATAAGTGTTCAATAAATCCAATTACCAATCCAGTCCTCATCTATAGTCACTCATACACATGACAACAAGCATGTTGCTCAGCTTGTTAGACCCTGAAGATGGAGCTGATTAGTTCCTGTAAAATACCTGGTGACTTTCAATGGACTACATGGCATTAAATCCTGTATGATCATCAATCTTCATAACCACCGCTGTGAGAACCTCGAATCGCACACAATGTTGACTTATTATAAATATATATATCCAACAGGAATAGGACCATATTAACAATGGAAATCTACATGAATCAATACTTCATTTCCATTTACCAGTTAAAATCATTAGACTGGTAAGACTTCCAATGACAAGCACAGAAAGCCAGGCGGGAACAAGGATTGGCTCCCCTGCTATTTAATGTGCCTCTGAAGTTAAGGAGGCTACACATTTATCTGAAATGGACAACAGATACAAATCTACACAGGTTCTGGCTTAAGCATCTGACACTGCTGTTACCTCCTGGTTCTTGTCAGATGCAACTGAAATATACAATGAATTGGCTATATCAGTAAAAGAAATGAGCTTAGAGATCAACACAAATAAAATAAAATTATTGATTCAGAGCTGAAGGGCAAATAAACAGATCTATAGAGTAACCTTAATGGGGGAAACAGCAGCAGCTGTTTAGGACCTTGTATATCTGGGGTCAAATCAAAGTACAAATGCCAGCAAGGAGAGTGAGATCCAAAGAAGAACTGGTCAAGCAAATACAGTGTATTTTTCACTGTTATCCATCATGAGAGCTGCTGGAAAATTAGGGTGTCTACAGCTATGGATGAAATAAATGAATTGAATTGAATTGAATTGAAAGGTCATTTTAACTGAGGAAAGAGAGTTTTCTTGCATGTCCATTAATTATGTTTTCCACAAAGAAAGATGACCACACACTGAAATATCATACGATACTGAACTGGGGAGTGGGGGAATGTAACATTACAACATCTCGGCTCCTGGTGGCTGCTTTTGAAACTGAGCATATAAATGTAGAGGTAAACATTCAATGTGATGCCTTTTGTGTACTTGGAGACAGAGCCTCACAAAAACCCCACCATCACTTTATGGACACAGTGTAGTAAATTAGGGCAATCAAACACTTTAACAATGGCTTACTTCATTTGCTCCTTGTTCAGTAAGCAACCGCCCTGCATAGATACAGATGAAGCCTCCTTGGGGAATGTCATTAAGACAGCGAATTCCCCAGCCTCGATTCTCAGTCTTGAACACTTGAAGTTTAAGCTGCAAAGGCTGCTGAGCCACTCGATTCAGACATGTATTAGAACACTTGCACCTATACCAACACAAGTAGATATCATTTTCAAATATTGGCTTTAAGCAACATTAATCCATCTCCACAGGTGTGGCCTACAGACTTTCCATACCATAAACTGGCAATAACAAGTTTCTCTCTTGAATCTTCACTAGAATTTGAGGACTGAAATACAAGGTGGTTCATTCCTCAGTTTACAAACTTATTACTGTAAAATTCCAGCTGGTGTATCTTTACTCTGATAACAAACTCAACTGTTACCATGCTAAAAAAATGTTGTCAGTAAAAACACTCTACTTAGCTCATACTACTACAGCTACTGAATGTGGTGTCCTACAACAGAGGCACAATTCACACTGACATAAAAAAATTTTGTGACATAAGCTGAAGTGTTCCCAGTGTGATTTCTTCAATAAAGTTCTATATTTTATTCCATAAGGCTTTTAACTGTATGGGTTGTTTTTTGCAAATTTTGTTTTTCAAGTTTCCTCACAGACCAAAATTACACATATTCAGAGCTGGGGAAAGTAGCAGTGAAAGTTACTTGTTCATCAAAACAGCCTACAGCATCTGTACTGAATTTTCTGTGGTGTGCTGGTGCACTGTACTCCTGAAAATATGTGCAATTCTTTTCTCCTACAGTTACTTCTATGAAATGTGGCTCCAGATTTTCATTCATATACTTTTCTGAATTAACTGTGTCATGAAAGAATATGGAGCCTGTGATTCTCCTAATATTTACAGCACACCATGTGCCACCTGTCTGATTGTGTATTGGGATCTGGGTGATAACATGTGTATTTTCAATATCCCAATGCTGTCATAACATTTCTCCCTTTTAATATAACTGTCAAAAAGAAACAAATGTTGTTCAGTGCTATATCTGACTTTGCTTCAACACAAGCACAGTGAATTTTCACAGCTAACTCATCACACAAACAAACAAGCAGTGACTGATGAAAATGGACTATGCACTTACTATCAAGACAGGTTCTGCTTATATTGCTGCATCAGCCACTGTATGCTGACCATTGACTGACTATATAACTGTTCAAACAAAGCTCCATAACTGCTGACTGAACCTTCCTCTGTCTATATCACTATTCTCACTCGCATTCACCTACAGGTGTTACAATGATGTTGATGCTACTTTCGTGGCATTCATCTTTGCAAATGAATGTTATGGTCTGAAAATATCATGTCCCCCTCACACTTTCCTCTCTTATTAAAACACGACAATTCTATACACACTCTGATAACTCCGTCATGTACCAGATGTAATCACCCAGGAAATATGAGCACTACATCCACAGATGAACATGAAGATCAGATGCTCAACAGCTCCCACAGATTTTTGTACAAACTGTTGCCCATTTATTTTGTTTATTAAAATTAAATCATGTTAGAAACAGATTTCAAGCTTTGTTCATGAGTTAAGTTCAATGAAGCTATTGACGATGGCAGCAGAACAGAGCGCTGCTACTTACAGTGTTGCAGCAATACAATTAATGAGATAGTAAACAATGTGGAGCTCATTCTGTTATTTTGTCACTTGAACACAGACGTTCCCATACTCGTTTCAGTATCTGTGGGGTTCATGTAGGCTCATTAGTTTTCAGAGGGTTCAGGTTTGGACAAAAACATCCTAAAGCTCCTGTGTGTTTAGCTTAAAGAACATGAAACTCTATGTGGCAATGCAGTGAAGCCCAAGCAAATGAATGAACTACCACACTGGAACCAGGGGTAGCTCAGCATTCAATTCAGTGTATGCTGCAATCAGATCTGCATATATTCATACAAGATTAGTGTGATACACATTTTGGTGTATATAAAGGCTGAATTCTGCTGCTCAGTAAGGATCTTAGCATATACATGTGGATTTCTGTCTAGACTCATTTCCACTTGGACAGAATCATAAGAATCCAAAACTTTTTTATTCTGGTCTAATGAACATCCATGTCAGTTTGATGGGAGAAAAACTACAGTAAATGTTACTGCATGGGTTGCCATATCATGCCACAGAATAACAGGCCAATATTTTGCAGCAACACAGTGTGGCCATGTTGAGCAATTATGTTACATCCCAACTTACTGCTACTAACACCATGTGGCTTATGCAAAATGTAGCCAGGCCACAAAGTTAATGAGGTCCTTGATTTCCCATATGAAATCTCTGACCCTTGAATGATGTGTCATCGTTTTGTGAGTCAGCATGGCTGTGGACAGGTCTGACTTCACCTTAGCCCTTCAGACATTAGCCCATGCTTGTTTCTTTGGGCCTACAATGTTCACAATATTAACAGTTTCACCTTTATGCAGACTCTACATAAAGGTGAAACTGTAAATATGGAGACCAGGATCATTAATGACACTCAAGAGCCATGATCAGGCAGCTTGCTGCAAGATTTTGGAAGATATGGAACAGAAAGCCATCTCACACACACAAGCACTGATGCAGAGGAGAGAGCAAAGTAGCAAGGGGCGATGCCATTGTTCAGGCAGTTAATTACTGGTTTTTCATGGTGGAGGCCTGTGTTCAATCTCTGGAGAGTTCATGCGGAAGCTGTGGCAGACTGAGTAACGGGGTAAGTTTTCTCAAAGCACCTCAATTTTCTTCTTCCAATCACAATGCTTGTCCATCCTTATAGGATGGTACATATGAGGCAGCAATACAAGAGGACTCAGTCTCAACCCAGTGTGCTTCAACCCACAGAATGCAGATCACACTAAACTTGCTCTCCAAACAAGTCTCCATGTTTCTATGGTTTAAGAGTTTTATATCATATTCAGATTCTGTGCAATGTTTACACTGAACAAATATTTGATGCAAGGCTCTGTAGGTACAATCAGTTACAAGGACTATGTCACAGTTCTGCAGAACAAAGCAAACATTTGTCATGAACCAACATACCGGGAATTACACTCATAGATTCCTGTCATCACTGGTTCTGGCAGCCGTCTGTAGAAGTAGCCAACTGTGGGGTCAACGATTCCACCTGGACCATATGCAGTTCCCTGGATTGTTAACTGCCAGCAGGCACACTTGTCTCGATCCTACTCAGTGTTAACAAAGAAAATAAATGCACTCCTTCACTAAAACACATAAAACTGAATGCAATCAGAAACTGAGAGGTAACTTTCCTTGCAGGATAGGGAAGATGGGATGCTGGAATGATGTGCTGCATACTTACCCCATATGCTTAGATCACAAGAATCATGGATACTACACTGATTGCAATATTATTTCTCTACTCTGGAGCAAAGCTGTGCTTCAGCCTATCCCCTTTAGTAGTTGAATTAGAAAACCCTCACTAATATTTCACTCATTCTTTTCTTATTCATGGTGTCAGTATCAAGTCTCGTGCTGGATGACAGATGAATTGGAAGGGATTTGAAAGCAAGTGGTCATGGCCTAATCAAGGTATAATCCTGGCATTTCCATGGAAGGGCTGGGGAAAAACACAAGATATAACAGTCAAGATAGCAGTTGTCTTGGCTGAGATTCAAACTCAATACATTCAAAATACAAGTCTAGACTGCTACTGCTAGACCAACCTGTTTGGTGCTAATATGACTTGATGTCCTTATTAAGCATAAATCTTGTCATTGGTCATTAAACAGAAGCAAAATTGGTGTGCGGCACCCTGAAAGGACTATGTGACTGGAATTTCTCAATATGAAACTCAACAATTCAGTTTTCCCCTACCAATTATGATGCTCACAATGCTCCATTCCAATCTATCATCAGGAGGCACATTTGAGGCTGCAGTAACAATGAACTCAATATCACCTCACTCCCACAAACAACTAACAGTCAGTTCTGAGGATCTCAAAGATGAGGGCACTTTCAGTGGATATCTTCTTGCACACAGTGAAAAATATCTTTGCATATAGTGTTCTTAACATTACACTCTTCTAGAATGAACTCATACAATGGTCGTCTCTCATCATGAGCAATGGGACATGCCAGTCAGTTGAGAGTCTAGTGAAGTTGCAAGTAGTTAGTCTGCAGTTAGCAGTTGGAAGACAGATCCGTTGGAAGTCACTGCAGATGGTCGCCCCTGCTGGAGGTGAGGGAGGTGGAGGAACACCCTTACTTGTGTAGCAACACCAAGTTAGTTGTGACAGTCAGGACGTGAACACATAAGCTGTTGAAGCTAGGTGGTTGGAAGCCAGTATCAGACAATGACTGGTGAAGACACAGCAGACTGAGAAGACTTAATGTGTGCTGTAGTAAACTGTAGTGTGTGTGAATTAGCAGAAATGAAAACTTTTTTGAACTCAGAAGGAAATACACAAAAAAATGAAATAAGGGAACAAAAACGTTGGAAGCAGGGCTGTGAAGTCAGTATCATCCAGGAGGCCCTCGGTGCTTCCCTGTGTCCTAGAGTATCATCCTACAAATTTCTTTTAAAGTCAATGATTCAAAACAAAGTTCTCATAGATTCCATAATTCCCTGTCTCTGAGGTGGGAGCATCAGTTTCTTTAAGTATGTTTCATGAGCTGTTTTGTCATTCAATTCTGCACTTAAAAGTGTAAACCTATCATTACTTAACAACAAGAATGACTTCACATCTTGATTTATGCCCACCTTTTTTTTCAATCTAAACTCTCTACTAGACCCTCAAACTTTTACTTTCAGAACTACACCCTTTTCAAAGATAAATTAACAAATAACAGAATAACACATTTTGAGCAGCATGTTTTAAGAATGAATGAAGATGAAATCCTAAAGAAGGTTGTGAACATGAATGTGAAAACATGAAAGGAAGGAGAAATAGTTCTAGGCTTCAGAATGTTTTCCAGAATTGTTACATACCATTTTAAAGCAAACAAGAAAAATGAGGTCATAAAGCAGGCTGAATCAAACACCTGCAGACTTTTTTCCATAGTGATATGACCTAAGTACTCAGCATATGATGAAACACTCAAGATCAAGAAAACGGTGACATTGATCAAGTGTAGCATTTCTGACCTGACAATCATCAGTGCATTCACATCCGACAAGGAACTCCGGATTAAGGTTCAGGTTCACTCCATCGGTTGCCTCTCGCTTCGTCGAGTAAGACACATAGGGAGGCAGGCTGTGGTCCACACAATTCACACAGGGCACTGGGACATGTTCTGCTCCATATGACAAATCCTGGCATGAAAGAGACAACATTTATATAAAGTATTAATAATGGGCATTTTGTTTTCAGTTTGAAGCTCAAAGAAAACACCTACCTTCACTGTCAATCTGGCATATAAAAAAATAAATCCAGTTCAGCAGAATGCATTTTCAACAATTGTATCTGATTAACTAATGATATGGCACACAGTCTTTGAAACATTTCTATGTTCTGAATAAATGTATAATATTTATGAACAGATAATTATTACAACAGTAAATCGGCTGTAGGGGGTGACATTACCTTGATATTTGAAAATCCCTTTTCCAGCATAAACTCAGCAAAGCAATGAACCCAGAAATCAAAGTCAAAGAGATCAACGGCCATATTAGACTTGGTTAAACGCAAGTATCTGTGTAGCTCCTCCATGTTGCGAAGCCGTCGACCACATGGAGCTCTATACATTACCACGCGCTTCCCACGGCACCGATTCACCTGCCTGTAGAACGGTAGTTACATTTTGTGTACTGGTGAATACTACAATGAAAGAATCTGATTAAAGCTGAACATTTGACATTTTCCAAGTTGCTACTTGTATGAAAATGCAGGAAAAATGTTGTCTTTATAAGTGCTTCAACACTGAGCTTACTTGTGTCTCCATAAAACACCTGTAACACTCACCTCTCCCATGCACACAACATTGGGATGACCAAAGGATTTTCACCCTTCAGAGCCTTAGGATCATATTGTGCTTCACTAAGACAGCTGGGACCACACTGGTGTGGCACAAACTTCTTGGGCCGGAGACGAGATGCATTCATATGTATATACTGAAACAAAACTCTGTATATATTAACTTTCCAGGCAGGATGGTTTCCTTCACCTGCCCTGACCACACAGAGTTCAGTATTAAAATAGGAAACTTCTTTTATTTATAATACTGTATTTCAGCATCCTATTCCATTAATGCTATCACTCTATATATTCATTTCTGTCAACTAGACATAAACTAGTGACGAGTGTTGCAGATTAGTTCAGCATCATGGTCCATTCCATCATTATCATTTCTAAATATAGTTCTAAGTGCACTTCCCTTTGTGTGGACATTTGTTTTTGTGCTGTTGTGTTCCTGGTTTCAATGTGGACACAACAGAACCAGGAACAGGAACAACACAGAAACAAATGTCCACATAACACACTCTAAAGGAAAAAGAAATCATAACACACATTCAAGAAGGTAAGAAGATACAAATACAAAAACTAAGAAATTAATAAGAACGTTATACTTGAATAGTACCAAAAACATAAAAATATAACACTGGGCTCCAGGCAATAAATGTCTCCTAAAATACATGACGACATAGAATTGTACACTGTAACAATGACAGAATTAAAAAACAGAATCTTTTTATAATTTTAGCAATAATTACATGTATGAGGTATATCCAGAAAGTAAAGATACAAGTCCAGTGAAAATGCAAGGCATTTTTTTTCCAGAAATGATAATGTTGTCATGTGAGATAGGAATCGTATGACAGGGCTGAGTTCACCGGCCACAGTCATGGCAACGTTGTGCTCCCAGTGTGTGTTTAAAATGGCTGTGTCAATTCAAAATCCTGCCAAATGTGAGGTCTGTGCAGTAAATCGATTTCTTCAGGCGAAAGGAGAAGCTGCTGCTGAAATTCATCGCCAGCCTGTTTCTGTTTACGGTGAAGATGTTATGAACAGGCAAAACGTGGCAAAATGGTGTCGTGAATCTGACGTGGGAAGAACTGATGTTCATGATGAAGACCATCCGTTGTCACTAATGAAATCATCCAAAAAAATCATGAATATTCATGCTGACACATGTTTAACCATCAAGGAACTTCATCAACAGTGTCCAGAAGTACCAAGAACTGTTCTTCATGGCTAAGAGAGCAGGTGGGAGATTTCTAAAAAGCTAGAATAAAAAAGCTCGTTCCCAGGCTAAGTGCATTGCGATCCATGGTGACTATGCTGAAAAGTATAAAGTGCATTGTAAAAGTACTACACGCGAACCCCCCACCCGCCCTCAAAAAAGTTTTGCAAATATTTTCTGGACTTTGTATTTTTATTTTCTGGATATCCTTCATATTACGATGATTATAATGCGTAACATTAATATGGATACATATTAGAATATTTCAATAATGAAGGAGGTTTGTCTACAAATAAACACAGAGAAAACTAAGTATATGTTGCTGTCTCGTCACCACAATGCAGGGCAAAATGTAACATAAAATAAAACTAACAAATGCTTTGAAAATGTGGCACAATTAAAATAACTGGGGATGAAATTAAGAGGAGACTAACTCTGGGTAGTGTTTGCTAGCATTAAGTCCAGAACTCTCTGTCTTCTTGTCTGCTGTCTAAAAACATAAAAAACTATAATTTTACCTGTGGTTCTGCATGGGTGTGAAACTTGGTTTTTGATATTAAGGGAGGAACATAGACTGAGGGTGTCTGAGTATATTTGGAATGAAGAGAGATGAAGTGACAGGAGGTTGTAGAAAAGTGCATAATGAGGACCTTCATAACTTATACTCTTCTCCATGTGCAATCAGAATGATCAAGGCAGTCTTCTGTTGGGTGCCTTACTGTTTACAGTACAATCTGGAGTTTGTATCACTGGTATAATCTTTTGGCAATAATTAGGAACAATTTAGAAGTGAGTGAACACAGGAAAATTTACAATTCTTACACAACCCAGTTGAAAATGGTTATAAACATTGCAATTTTCCTCATTCTTATGCAACCATAATATTCCTAACCACAATTTGTTACATAAATTATACTGCAAACAGTAAAATTTGCATAAAGAAAGCATCATAACTTAAGAGACAGGATACCTTGGGTAAAAATATGTGAAATTACAAGTAGAAAATGGTAGTTGTGAAGGTGACATGTAAACTATAACAGATAAGGAGTAGGTATATAAATCTGGTGATGTGCAAACAGTAGCTAGCATTTGTTTCTCACTTAAGACAGAAACAGCAGTTCATGCAACAAATTACCTCAATATGCCCTTGAGGCTGCTGACTCTTCTCTGCAACTGCTGGGTATGCCTCCTGCTGCTGCTCCTGCAGCCTGTCCATTATGCTATCTGGACGCTTCGTGGTGCTCTTCTTGGCCACAGCACGCGATGGCACAGACTCAGAACTGATGCTCTGGCCATCTAATATTTTAAAAGTAAAAAGAATATATCAATTTTTGCGGCCATTCAATGCTTTTCTGATATCTGAGGTCCTCATGGTAGTGACTACAAAGACTGTCCCCTGGTATGTGATGTCTAGGGGATGATTATCGATGTTTTAGAGGAACATGCTGTCTCCTACTCCTACCCTTGAAGGTGGAAGGAGCACATTCCCCCAGACTGTGAAGTGTTCTATTGGATTTCACTCCAGAGGACAGTATTTGCACTCCGTGTCTTATACGGTTAAATACAACTGTCCCTAACCTGCAATTTATAAACCCTTGAAGAGTAAGGTATTGTTCAGCGTTTACCAAAAACAATATAGAACAGCAGATTANGGGGAATACAAAAAAAAAAAAAGAGAGAGAGAGAGAGAAATAATAAGTGATAATATTTTCTACTTGTTTTAGAAAAATACTGTCTTATAGGAAGAGTTTGTTAAGTATCAAACTTCATATCCCACTGCATTAGCCTGATTTGTCTGCCTCTAGAAGAAGATATAATAAATAGAAACAATATGAAAAAAGTCTCACTCAAAGCAGGCTATGCCATAACCCAGGCAGTTGGTTGCTGGCTTCCCACCACAGTAGCCAGAGTTTGGCACTGGAGGAACTTTCCTTCAAGTACTTCAGTTTCCATTACCAAATCTCATTCCAAAACCTGATTCATTGATTATCCCACCACTGATGCCACATAGTCTCGATACCAACAGTTTCATTGAAACAAAAAACTTAACACTTAACTTTAAAACTCACTCCAAGGAGTGTAAGTCTTTCTTGATAACTTTAATGTATTAACATTGATGTATAATACTCAGGATTCAGCACAATGAACATTAACATCCTGTTATACATTTTGAGGTTCTCACAGCGGTAGTTGCGAAGAGTTCTATCTTCTGGGATACCACACCACATGGTCCATTGAAAAGACAACAGACATTTTGGAGGAACATGACACCACCATCGTCCGGGTTAAAGAATAAGCCACACAAGAAACCAGCTTGAAGTTTGTAACAAGCTCTGATTCCGGCTTGTTTCTTGCTTGGCTTACACTTTGATGCTGAAGATGAAGGTCACATGTTCCTCCAAAATGCTGACTGACTTTCGATGGACTATACAGTGCAATATCCCAGAAGACAGAACTCTTCAATCAACCTGTTTTGGTTTTAAAAAAAAGTAACATTCCAGAACCTGGCTCTGTTCCTGGAACATTATGCTTCTTTAACTCAAATGAGATTACATAAAATGTCCAAAATATGTAACTTTTAGTGAAACAGTTGATATGAACTCTACAACAAGATGTATGTTAGGGTGTTAAATTAAAGATGTATAACAACAACAACAACAACAACAAAACCATGTGCCGCCTTACCTTGAACTGGTTCCAAGAGTGTGATTGTTACTTTATGAAACAGAAACAAAAATTTCATAATACAGTTAGTTTTATAAGAACAAATTAGAAACAAATACTGGAGACCATAGGTGTAACTCAACTATAGTATGATTCACTCAGAGGAGACCCTGAATTAATAATTATAAATCACAGAATAATTTACCGATGAAAAAGAACTTGGCAACACTGTGCACTTTGTAGTACTAATGTGGTGCCTGCCTGGATTGCACCATTTCTTTCTGTCTGTAACTTCACATGATTTGTAGCAGAATAATATATATTCACATGGAGCATCATGTTGGCCTATGTACCCAGGTGAAAGGGAAGTAATTTCAGAATTTTCTGTGACCCAAATATGTGCATGTCTACTGAGGAATGAACCTGCCACATTCAATTTGCAACAGCAAATTACTGCTTGACTTATAATTATTAATTAGGGGCTCATCCAAGTGGATCACCTTGAATGTGTAAACAACACTGTCAATACAGATGCCTCACCTCCTGAGTCATCCCGTCTCATTTCTTCTACATCTGTTCCACGTGTATACTCCACATATGGCATGTTTCTCTGAAACAGACAGTACAGGGCAGGATTTCCAACTTTTACAGTGACAATATGTAATGCAGTCTTCTGCACTCATCAGCCATGTCAATATGGAGTTAGTGTTTCACATTACAGGGACTGTCTTTGTCTCCATTATCGCTAGTTAATGCAATGAGCATTATGTTTGCATGCTATATATATATAGAAAAATTGTCATCTGTCCCAACCAAAAAAGCACAGAGAATGTCAGGTGCAGTCAGATGGTCAGCGATGTCACAAATTTTATGATTCCACCCAGATCCCCACATGGTTTATAATTTCTCAAATACTGAAAAATACAAAATTAAATGCAACCTTTAGGACCATCACCTCTATCAGAAACCATCTGAAATATAAACTACAACATTTGATTCATTCAATAACAGTGGCATATACCAACTTTCTTTCAAAGAATGCCCTAAAAATACATAAGCCAAACCAGGCAAATCTTTAAAATTAGATGCAATGAACACATTCACAACATAAGCCAATAAAACAAAATCAAAATAATTAATCACTCATTAGGCAGGATATTTCACCTGTGATTGACAACTGATGAGTATGTATAGTGGCCTTTACCTTCTTCAGGGAGGCGACACCAAGACCCCTATGTCTGCTGAATGTCCCTTGTTCCTTCCTAGCGGCAGCATGGGCAAGCTCAGCATACAGAGGACCAAGCCGAGTGGAACCACGATAGATCCACTCAGTGCGCCCATCTGCATCAAAGTGCATCTTCACCAGAGAACCATCCACCTCCACAACACGTGCAATCCACCACTTGCCTAGAGCAAATAATATCATGTTTGGAAGCATAAAGGAGAAGGGACACAGTTCTTCCATTGAATGCTAGACCACTGCTGTCATAACAAACTGCCTCTTGTGAAAAATGGATCTCTAGTGTCAGTTCCATTAGAGTGATAAAAATAAAATGGGTCAGATGGAAATGACATTTAACATGTGTCTAGAAACAAGAAGTACGCATACAGCTTTGGCTGGTAAACCTCCTTATGCAATGAAGATGGAGGCAGCAGTTCCTTTTGAAACTCTGGTACCTGTCTATCAAACTACAAGGTGCCATACCCCAGACGACCGTAATCCTAATATTCACAACTGTGAGAATGTCAAATTTCTTTTATATACCTGCTTCTTATGAAAACTCTCAAATTTATAATATTAACCACATGAATCAGAAATATATGTTAATGAGAAATTTATCTTCTAATCTATGCAATACAGAAGCTGTAAACAACGTAACTGTTTAAATTAACAATATTCATATTTAATTTCAAGAGACACATTTCTAGGGCTGTTAAGAAGAAGCCTGAATAATTGAAAAGGTCACAGCACAATGCATATAAAGTATTAAATGAGCTAATTTACTATCTATCGTAGGGCATTAACCAGGAAGGTAATGAGTAAACACAAAATTCCCTGTGACAGAAACTGAAAGTTCATCAAAGACAACACCAAATCCTGTCACTTGGAACCAATCATGACACAGTTAATATCGTCATCAGAAACTATTTCTGGAATGGGGAACTTAGATCTCCTACTACTACAACACTAGTGCCCTAGTTTCAATTTGACAGTAATAGGATTTCTATTGTAAACAATGTGATGCCTGCTGGATCGTGCATGCATGGATATAGTACTGAGATGAACAGACAGTGAAGGTTAACACAGTGACATTATGAATGATGAAGACAGCCACTGCTTCGTAACAACTCGAACACATATGGGAGCAATAAACATACACATAACAACAAAAGAGTATTCAATAAATCCAATTACCAACACAAACTCCATGTTTAGTCACCAACATGTACATTCGCCCCAACTTTATTTCCACAATGTTCTCCTGGAAGGAATAGGTAAATCGAAAAATCCACCTCATCGGGATATGATCCGCGACCTAAATTGTGTAAATCAGCAATAGTGCTGTATTTCCTGTAGTAAGTATAATTAAGGAAGGTTGTAACCAAAGTGTTAATAGATCCAATCATCTGAAACAGGACTCATTGTTTTGTCACGCATACCACCCTACATGTGCCAATACTTCCCTCCTAACTGTATCACAGGCTTCCTTGAAGTCTACGAATAGCTGATGTACTGTCTCATTGTACTATAAATTTTTCTCCAGTATCTGACAAATGCAAAAGATCTGATCAGTAGTTGATGTGTTACGTCAAAACCCACGCTGATTATCCCCAATAATTTCATCTATGTATGGTCTTAACCTTGAGAACCTCAAATCCAGCATATTTTAAAGATCCTTACAAATGAATCTGAAGATACTGTACAGATATTACAGAAGAAGTGTAAGCGGTCTCTTCAGCAATTTCATTTCTATCACCATATCTGTATCTGTTCTGTATTTAACAAACTGTATTATTAATAATGTGATCATACTTTACCATTCCATTCTGTCTTGACAATCTGCCCTTGCTGCAGCTTCACCATAGGTCTCTCAGGATACTGCTCCAGGTACTTGCGAATAAACTCTTTTGAGTCTGGGTGGATATCTTCCCATACATTACGTGAGCTCTCACAAACTAGCAGAATCTTCTCATGTGTCACATACTGAGCATAGCCATCATCAAAAAATACAAGGTACCTGCACCACACAGGATATTCCCATATTAATAGAAAAATCTTCCAATTAATTATGTATCAGAAGCAGTATATACCTACTCTGAAAATGCAATCAGATCTTAATATCTGATGAAGAGAGAAAATCTTACCAGAAGTTTATATATTATGCTGGAATCCATACTGATTATCCAAAATAAGTTATACTATACACAGAGGAATAACTTTCAACTAATATGGCCTCCTTCAAACTACTGAATGAAATCTTATTAGCCTCACAATTTTACTCTATGCAGAATCTGTACTTCAGTACTAACAATCCCACTAAAAAAAAAAAAAATTAAAGCTAATCATCATTGTTATTCTCATTACTGGCATCACCAGTATCATCATCATGGTAGTAATGGTGATGACAATGATAGTAGTGTTGGTAATTATGGTGGTGGTGGTGGTGGTGGTGGTGGTGGTGGTGGAAGCAGTGGTGGTAGCAGCCATAACAATAATAAACTTTGATGATTTTACAATTGCAAGCAATAAGAATTACAAGTTAACGCTGTGTTTCCCAGTTCAACAGACTGGCCAAAAAATATTATATGGGAAAACATAAGAGGTAATGTAAAAATTATTATACTTTTATCAAAGAAAGACCACAGAAGAGTATGAGGCTGCCATCTGTTGATGACAAGTCAAACATTAAAACACTAGCACAATATAAGCACAAATTCCAAATGTCTTGATGATATGGTACAACTATTCAGATTTGGGAGCCAACCACACCTTGGAGACAATGCCAATTAACAACAGGTTGAAAACAGTACTGTGCCGAGTCATAAACTGACCTGTATTTGTTCATAGATTTGGGAGGCTCAGCAACAACACCAGAGTAGTAGCACTCCTTGCTCCAGTCATTATCTTGAAATATGGCAATGACACGGGTTCCAACAGGAAATCTGACAGGAGATGGGGTAGTGTACGCCATCTGCTTGGCTATGACCTGTTTGACATTGCTGGATTTGCGGTATGATGATTCAAACTTCACTTTGTATGTAACTGACAGGGTCAAACTTCCAGATGAAGTCTGCAAAATGGAACAAGAACATCAACCTGTCATTACAAAGAGATGAATGTGGAAAGTGAATAACAAGTTTGATATTGTTCAGAGACTACATTTCAATAACAATCTTCAGCCTAACATTATTCTGAGACATAATTTGGAACACAAACCAAATTATTTAAATGCCTAATTCAGCACATCAACATCACTCTCAAATGACTAATTTGGAACATAAACCACCTGTCATGTCATGGAAGCCTCTCATGCTCTGAAGGAATGAGAGAAGGTACATCAACTCATGACCTACTGTTATTCCATGGCCCTCCTATTGTAGCCCTTTCAATGCTCTCCGCTGTTTCACAGCATCCTTTAAGACCCTCTGTCCTGAAGCAACTGCCCTTTTCACAGCCTATGATTTACATTAATCCCCGAGGCCCCAAATCTTCTTCTCTATCCCTGGCTCTAACTGGTCACTCCTCTTGCCATCCATGACCAATGACCAATACACACAACTTTCTCAGCTGGACACACTCTGACATTCCCCTGGCCCTCCGGTAACCAACCACCTGTCAAACTTCAAGTTGCCATAACACAGAAGACCACAATATGAATATGGTGTATGTCTGATAAAATACAATTAACTAAACACTACAACTGGTATAAGAACCAGAAGGTTCAACACTGCTAATATCAAAGTCCATCACTGTAGAAGACCTTCAGCCAACTCCATCCACCGCACATTCCATCTACTTCTTTAAGATCTATCTTAATTTATTCATTTCTATATGCAGGATCACCTCTTTACTGTTCATTATGTTTTCCAGCAGACTTTATTGTCCCACACAGGGCAGCATCTGTACTATTGATATGCTTGCAGAAAGCAGATTTATAGGCGCAATAAATAACAGTAAGATATCTGATATGCAACGAATGCACACAGAAAATGTGTGTACTACACACCAAATTTTTTTTCTCATTGGCACTACAGCCTCAGTGGGCCTAGGCCTACCTCCATGAACTCTGTTCAGTTCGGTTTTTCTAGATCTTACACATACGGCAGGACTCCTTGGGTGAGTGATCAGCTCGTCGCAAGGCCTCTACCTGTAGACAAATACAGAAAAACGCACACAAACATCCATTCCCTCAGTAGGATTCGAACCCACGATCCCGGTTTCCAAGCGAGCGAAGACAGTGCAAGCCTTAGACCACCAGCTACCATGACCGGCACAAACCAAATTACTCCACCCTAATTCCGTTATGTATGGCATACATCTGCAGAGACAACAAATGGAATTATTTTGTCAAGACCTGAAACTCAACAAAAACATATCAGTTTCAAATTCACTACATAAACTTTCACATGCATATACACTGTTGAATCAAGCAGGCATTCAGTGCTGTGGATGTCTTACCTATGTTTTATACACGAATAAGCTTGTGAATACATTCAACAGTGTACATATGATGAGCTTGTGAGGCACCAGTAAAACCAAGCCTGGGCAATGTCTGGATTGTTCCTGTACTCTCAGAATCACATACAAGGAATTACAAACTTTCAGGTTTTCACTGCAGTGAGGATTCATACAACACTGTGCAGCTTGAAGGTGTATAAAAACACTCTGGGGGAACTTACTGCATCCATTATCAGGACAATATAGTCCTCCAAAAAACTGGTCCCTATCTCCCAAACTACACAGCACCATGACCCAGGAGACTACAATATGAATCCTTAAAGACTGTTCAGTCACAAATATATGACCTCTTAGTACTTCTGAGGTACTGCAAAACCACAGTGTAAATATGTGAGAATAAGAATAATGCTATTTGTATTCTTTACCTAACACAATTGGAATGATTCAATCAAGAGGAAAGGAACAGATAGATTTCTAACTTGCAATGGGAAAATTTCAGCTCAAAGACCACAAGATAAAAGACTACTTAGAAGAACTATGAGTATCCGGAATACTATCAAAACAAATTTTAAAAATACAGTACAACCTTCATAGCATGAGAATTTTAAAATGTATAAAAATTTCACTTTAATGATTACACATAATAGCCAAAAATGTTTGAATATATAATCTTCAAGTGCATTTCCTAACTTCTAAATACATATATTACAATTAAAAATTAACGCAAGTCCTGCAATATTTATTCTATTTATAACAGAGATAAGAAAAAAGCAAAGAATAATTCAACATTCTGGACATTTTTAGCAATATCTGAATACACTGACACAGTACGTCAACTATTCAGGCTTCAAGGAAGCCTACCATTCAGCTAGGAAGGAAGTATTACACAGTATTCTTACTGAGTTTGGTATTCCCATGCAACTAGTTTAAATGAAACATATTGTAAAGACCCAGTGGGTAAACATTTGTCTGATACATTTCCTACTCAAAATGGCCTAACAAATGAAGAGGCTCTAATACCACTGTCTTTCAACGCTGTTTTCAGAATACTCTATTATTATGGGCCAAGAGAACCAACTGGGAAAAAACGGAATGCTTTCTGAAACTAACAACTTCCAAAAAAGACCCTGTAGTCATCAGCCAAATGAATTGTCACTGGTTACTAGCACATACCTCTGATCCTTTGGGCAGAATCTCCAGCACCTTGCCTCGTGACCACACTCCATAGTAGCTCAATTTCATCACATACATCACATCTCCAACACGAGGTTTTGGCCTCAACAGTGTACCGATAGGAGGCAGCGGTTTGTGTGTTACCTCTACCTGTTCCAAAGCCACAACATCTTCTTGCCTCTGCAGGAAACAGTCTTCAGTTACACTATTCAAAAGTTTATTCAAGAACTGACAAAGAACATTCCATAATCTTCTAATTATATCAAATTTAAGATGAAAGGGAGGACTTATGTATAAACAAAGTTTCAGCAAGACATACACAGTTGAGAAAAACACGAATAACAAAGGTTACTGATACTGCATGAGACAGTACATCAGCTACTCATAGACTTCAATAAAGCCTATGAATGAGTTAGGAGGGAAGTATTGTACAATATTGTCACAGAGTTTGGGGTACCCTTGAAACCAGTCAGGACAATTAAAATGTTTACAATATTATATTTAAGCATCCTGTTACACTCCATACGATATATGATATAAATTAAAATGTGTTTAAACAAAACATATAGTAAAGTCCATATAGGTAAACATTTGTCTGATCGTTTTCGTATCCAGAATGGTCTAAATGATGCAGATGTTCCGTCACTTTACCAGAGTGAATCTCGTTCTTGAAGCTTTGACAATTCCCATCCCCCTTTTCTTGTTCTTGTTCCTTTGGGAAAAGCAAAGAATTCCCAATTCATGTTATGACCCAAACGTTCTCAAAGTTCTGAGCAGCATAAATTGTGGTTAAGTTCAGCAGAGCAGGTCAACGGAAGTGGCTGATGTGAGTGGACCTGAGCAGTTGAACTGAGTTGATGAGTTTCTCTTAGGTCCTGCAATCCTAGTCTCTTGCTGTGGAAAGCAAATCAATTTACCATCCGCCAAACATTAACATTTATCTTGGACTTCTTTTCAGTACTGTCAAATGAACGATTGCAAGTACTGTATGTATCATTCTTCCAGACAGTACAACAGAGTAGCGCATACCTCTTCTCACAACGCCTTCAGTAGAAACTCAAGGTATCTAGTGAATACTATATTGGAAGAAGAAACTTACCACTTCAGGGTGAGAACTTCCAGGTATCACCGAACGCTGAACCTGTGTTACTTTCTTTGTGGCCACTCCAGCTGGAAACATAAATATATTCATCAAACAGTGCTCCTCTCATGACCTTGTTGTATATAAGCGTGGCAACAGATATGCAACTCCCAAATGTTTTGGTCAAAGTCATATTGTGACTGATGGTCAGTCTGTCTCTGTCTGTCTTGGTGTCGAGCCCCAGCTAGGGCTCATGACCAGATTTTTTTTATTTTTCTCCCCCTTATATGACAGTTACTGTCCTGTACATTTGGGGCGCCCTCTCTGACAAGAGGTCGGGTCTGTCATTTGTCAGCCATAGTCTGCATTAGTAAGTCCATTGACAGTATTTCAGTTATTCTGGGAATCCCGTTATATAGCCACAGCACAGACCACACAGAAAACACAGTTCTTTTATTGTAAGAACTGCTTGGTAATTCTTTGATCAAATCTGTTACAGTAATACTATACAACACTATTACTGTACAACCATCAACACAACACATTCGTAATAAACCAATATTACTGTATTAATATTTGATTATTATGTACATTTGCTACATGTTTTGATCCAGCTGGCTAACCATAAGGCACTGAATTGTATTGTATTACTATTGTGGATCCATATTAGCGGTCATAAATATAAATTTCATTACAATTCTTGTGTTTCATTACAACTGAATACTAGTATTAAAATGTGAAATGTTATGTAACTCACTAGTTACAACTGAATTCAAATTTATGACCGTCTATGATGGTGTATTGAGGAGTAGAGGGCTCTTCCGGGAGTCAGCACTGTTTTTTAACTATTATGCGCATATATTACGTGGTTGTTTTCTGCATGTAATAGTAAATGTTCCATTTTCTTTACTTTTTGCTGAGTGACAGCAGTAAAGCTATTCTATTGTGTATGTTGTATTGTGTTCTGTATGGGGTACCACGTCTTCTTGCTATAAGACAGTGGGTGTTCACCTTCTCTGGTTCTGTTTGCTCTGATCATTAAGAAACTGGCAGAAGCAGAACAGGTTCAACTTTCTCAACAGTACACTTTATCTGGTAACAAACAGAATATGGGTACATTCTTTGTAAATGTTTGCATGACTTCTGTGATTCTTGGTAAACAGGCACATGCATGGCAAAAGCAAAACAAAGAAAACTTTCTCACTAATTTTCTTGTGCCATTAGACAGAATACGCACGCACTTTACAATGCCTGCATTTTGTTTTGATTCTTAGTATATACACATATTTGCAATTTTCTATATTTGTGCGTGTAAGCGCCCTAATATTATTTAATATACGTAGTGCAGTCATTAAGTTCATGGGCTGTGGTTTTATTGCATCATATTACAAGGTATTCGCATACACTTACGCAGATCCACATTGGCCCTCAAAATAGCTGCCGTTGGCCACTATGCAAGCCTGCCAACGTTGATTTGGCTACCAAAAATTTTGCTGAAACATATTGGCAGGAAATTCCCGTACGGTGTCTCTTGCAGCATTGATGACCTCCTCGGATGACTGAAATCTGACCATGTAGCTTTGCTTTCAAGCGGTGAAAGAGAAAGAAAATGCATGGTGCGAGATCAGGTAAGTACGGAGGGTGTGGCAGAACGGTGACCTGTTGCCTTGCCAGTTCCTCTGAGACAAGAACAGAGCGATGTGCAGGGGCGTTGTCATGTAGCAGCAGCCAATTCTTCCTATGCCAAACGTTTCGCTTGGGGATTTGCCTACTTTTTGGCAGAACTTGATGTTTGCCCGTTGTTCAAACTGCCACATTTTCAATTTCTGCCACTTGCATTTAACTGCAGTTCACAAGAGAGGCCGTAGTTCTGCTTACACTGTTTGCACACAACTGCCTCTTGCTGTGACGAGAGATGAACTGACAGGTCATCATATCGTGCCTCAACCTATCTGCTGTAGTGCGCTGCAATGATGCTTTGCGGCCAGTCCACGAACTTATTGACTAGGGTAGTAAAATTATGCTCAGAACCTGACTAACAAGAAGCAGACTTTGAACGGCAGGGCATGTGCTTGGTCTGTGAGTGAAATGCTATTTTAATTTTCATGATCCTACTGAAGGACATAAGCTGCAGTTGCAATTTTATGGTATTCCTAAAGTACCTTGTGCAAACAAGCCATACTTCAGTTTTATAATGAGAACACTTAAAATATGAGGGAGAGTCAGTAAATGAGTCACAAATGGATATAAAATGCAAAACATGTAATATTCGAACCTGAAAGAAAACATTTATTTCTCAACATATGCTCCACCAACATTGATACAATTGTCCCATTGCTTTACCAGTGTGTTGAAAATCGCAGCATGGAAGTCTTTTGACTGTTGTCTCAGCCACTGCCTCAATGGGTCGGGTATCAGCTGCGATTTTCGAACATCCATGAGAGAATTTCTCAACCCAGTTGTGAACCGCTTTACGTGAGAAACATAAACAGGAAACATTTCTTTATGATTATCCTTTGCATAGAGTCCTTTTGCCCACAGAACAACCGAATACTGCTCTTTGGTAGGATACTCCTGAAGCACAGCTGTCATTCTGACTACTGAAATAAGCCTCTGAACATGCACATGTATATGCGGCTGGTTTATGGCACAAGAGAACGCAAAAATATTTCAAGTGCTAGAAGCAGGAGTGATTTTATAATGCAGAACTACTCTATGAAGAAGTAGGGAACACATTTTCAGCCAGGGATGTCACAATCACACATCCCACTGTGCGTGTGCCAGATCAGAAACAGCTGTAACAAAGGACAAGGATTTGAAAACTTTGTGACAATATGACCCCTTAAAATAAATAAATTTATGTAGAATCCCAACACTGCCAGACAGAGAAAAGCATAGTTCTGCACACTGTTCCAAGTTTCTAGTAGGCTGTATGGTGACAGCGTGAACAAAAACAGCTCTACAACTTCTCTGCACCTACACGAAGCCATAAAATTTCCTTCCCACAATGTTCTCGAATGTGACATCATGTGGTCTGAGAGACAGGTACCAACACTTCAGAGGAGTGTGCTGCCTCTTCTTGATGTCTTTTAGTACCTGGCAGAACTATCTTATTCTGGGTCGTCCCATAGGTCTTGCTCCTTCAAACGAAGATTGAGAAACTGAAGAAGTTGGTTTACAGGTCTCTAGTCATGTATCTGGGGGATGGTCAGTTAAAATCTCAGCCAGGAAAACAGCTGGGTGATGAGTGAGGGTCCCCATGATTTTCCTCGGTCCTTCCATGTACATTCCAGAACAGTACCTCCACACAGGCGATGACCGCTTCCTTCCAAATTCTTTTCAACTTATCAGCCATTCTAACATTTGGCATTATATGATCTCAATACTGCAGTATCTTTAAATAAGTCATATAAGGAAGAGCGAGAAACAATATAAGTATGAGAGAGAGAGAGAGCAGAAAGTGAGAACAAGCTGTATGCCCATCCTATAGCTTAGGAAAAGACAATACTGGAACATGTATGGAGGAATTCAGGAAAGCAGAGTCATCAAATGAAAACCACATTCATTAAGATGTTTTACCATGTTTTCTTATACGTGCCCTGAACAATGGAAGATTTACTGAAGTAGGTATTAAAAATGTTCCCTTATAAAATCAACAGTAATGACAACTAACTCACACATAGGTGACTTCCTAACACCATCTGCCTGCATAATTCCAGTGGATGTTGGAGGTGTAATCCCCACTCGTTGTTTTGGTAAAGCTGAAGGAACTGGAGATGTAGGGGGTGCCCAGTGCGTCACCTGTGCTTTCTGCTGCCTGCATGGAGGCTGCTCTCTTGTGCAGTCCAACACCCTTGGAGGTGAAAACCGAATTACAGGTGGTCTTGTACCACACTGACTGTCATCAATCGACAGTGATGGTAGCTCCTGGTTGACAAATATGAATGTAAACAAGAATGCGAAGACATAAATCATAGTGTGAACTTGCAAAAGATTGCTTTACAATGATTCTTCATAAACATTCACTTCTTTAGTTACACCATGCTTGCTGCCATAGTGTGTGGTATGAGTTAATGCTTGAGTCCAAAGAAAAGAAAAAAATACATGTTAGCTGGGGCCCTTGTCACCACAGCATGGTGTGTCCTCAGGGTGTGGGTGGAGGATACACCCTCCAGGTATGGAGGGAAGCTGTGAATATATTGAATAAGCAGTCACAGACAGTCGACAAGGGGTGGTCCTCTAGCTTGGGGGTTGGGCTTGAGGCTAAGAACTCCTCACTGTAAAAAATAACCTTGTTAAGAAAATGCACATAAAGCCTCAGACCTTAAGGGATCCTCTGGATAAACAAACTAAGCTAAAGAAAATGGACATGCGATTTGACACATGGAATGTTAGAAGTATATATATGACAGGTTCGCACAGGGCAGTGGCAGAAGAAATCTTAAAATATAAGTTAGATCTAGCGGGAGTAGAGGTCAGATGGGACAGAGGTGGCATCGCAACAGCAGGCAAATATACATTTTCCTTTAGAAAGGGGAATGAAAATCATGAATTGGAAAATATATTTTCATACATAAGAGAATCGTATCAGCAGTTAAGAGGTAGAGTTCGTTAGTGATACAATATCACATATAATACTAAAAGGTCGCTGGTGTGCTATCATAGTTATGAATGTTCACACCCCAACAGAAGATAAAATTGATGACATAAAGGACAAGTTCTATGAAGAACTAGAAGATGTATTTGATACATTCCTGAAGTATCCTATGAACATTTTGTTAGGAGATTTCAATGCCAAAGTAGGGAGGGAAGACATTTTCAAATCAAAGAACAAAAATTAGCAGCATATAAAAATGGGATACACAGACTTCTCACATTAACTCTTAAAGAAAACATAAAAAATAAAGAATTAAATACTATTAATAATATAGCACTAAATAATGGTTATGGGAAGGAAGACATCTTACTTATATAATAAACTCAAACAATGGAAAAATAATTTGGAAAAAGAAGCCAAAAAAGAACAAAAGTGGGTCGCATTTACCTATGCAGGAAATTATATACGGAAAATCACAACACTATTCAAAAACGCTAACATAAGGATAGCCTTCAAAACAACCTCCACCACTGGTAAACTAGTAAATGAGAAATAAACGCTTACGAACAGGGTGGGATATACAACATAACCTGCCAAAGCTGTCAAAAAGTATACACTGGCCAAACTGGTAGAAATTTATAGGAACACATAAGAAATATAAGATTAAACAAAGACAAATCAGCATTTGCCCAGCATATACTAAATACATGCCACCAGTATGGACCTATGACAGTAATCATGGAAATGGTTGAGCATGTTACGGAAGGGAATCTCATGAATATAAATGAAAACTTCCATATATATCACTTTAATAAACTCAATACATTGAGAGAATGAAAACTTACAAGGGAGAGTGAATACCAGTATATGTTCGACTTCATAATAAAACATCAGTACATGCCCACACAAACATCGTAAGGCACAAGGAGTGTAAATACGTGACTCAACACACCTTAACAATGCGGCACGCCCAGAACAACAGGATGACACAAAAGATAGGATGAAATAACAAACGCTCACATTGAGATAAAATAGGAATAATGGAAATACTAAATTATACCCATAATATATTTGCAGAATCCTATTCTTAAAACAATGGAACCACAAGGTGGTAGACGCTCAACTTCCTTCAAAATGAGGAAATAAAAAGGACACAAACCAATTTGGTTAAAAAAATGTAACAAAATCTTTTTAAACATACTAATTGTAATTTATAAATATTTTAATGTATTAGTACACTCCACTGCAGTTGTTAAAATATTACATTTTGTATTCATTGTATTATCATAACACTGTATGTGTATGTTTATATTCATGAAACACACTGTAATAGTGGTTTCTAATTGTACTGATATCCTCCTGACGGTGGTCCATAAGACTGGAAAAAGGATATAAGATGAAAAAGGAAAATACATTTTATCAGTCACACTGAACAGTGTTAATTAAGATGCAAAAACGAAAATGTCACTCTGACCCTCCCACAGTGAGCTGTTGTACTTTGTGTCTGATGTTCATTATCTTCAAAGTACACTTCGTGTGAAGGACAAGGTACAAAAACATTCAACCTGAACTAAGGAACCTGAAGCACTAACCCGTATTTTTGGTGTATAATCCTTGTAGATGTCACTTCGTAAACTATCCATTCTCTTCTGTAGTTCATTGAACAGGTCATCTGTTTCATTAAAAGTAACTGAAATACAAGAGGCAAATCTAATTAAACAATAAAATAAATAGTTGAAAAATTCTTATACACATATAATTTTCTCGTTTAAATATACCTGTGATCAGAAATGAGGCTCAATGTTTAGCATCTGTTCTTGCTGTATGTGTCAGAGTTAGAGAGCTTGCAAAATATGACAACAGTGAAAAATAATTCATACATATATGGACCCTTATAAAGAGCAACACAGGCAAAATCAAAGCAATGGCTATAAGACATCTGTGGAGTACTGAAGAAACGACAAGAAAAAATAAAGTAGGAACAGAATTTTTAGTGGAGCTGGAATTCAAAATTATTAACAGATTTAAAAGAGAACCGATAACAATGGTCATGTAAAATGAATGGATAGAACAGGGACACTGACAAGGACATCAGAACAAAAATTTAAAAGTAACCTAAAGATGAAGGCCATGCCATAGCTCAAGTGGTTAGTCGCTGGCTTCACGCTGCGGCAGCCCGGGTTGAATTCAGGGTCTGGTCAAGTGGGATTTGTGGTGGACAAAGTGGTGCTGGGGCAGGTTTTCTCCAAGTACTTTGGTTTCCCCTGCCAATCTTCATTTCACCAAATTATCCATCATCATAATCACCTGGGGCAGGTACAATAGGCAAATCAGTGGCTGCCATGCCGAGCGAACGCAGCTGGACTCCACGCCCCCACTAAGCAAATTAAAAAAAAAAATTAACTTAAAGATGACACTGAACAAGATGGTACAGCCAAATACTGAAGACATAAAGAAAAGAAGCAAAAAATCTAAAAGGAAAGACTGTGGAGAAAAGAGACTGAAGACTTTTCATCCACTGACCTGTATAAAACAGAAATAATGGTAGAAGATCATAAAGAATAAATACATTTAAATTCTGATATTTCAAGGTTTGTTAAAAATTAATTTGAATAACTTGCCCCTTGGGCAAAGTAACAGGACTGAACAGGGTTTGCAGCAAGTGCTGAATGTGTTAAAGTACAGAGGTTCATGTACCCTTTAAATTAGACCTTTTCATACAAAGAGGATTATCAGTATATATGTAGTGATGTGAAGAAATCAAGAACATTGTTATCTAATAAACCAATCTTACCACTCAATTCATCCAATTTATGAGTAAGGATTTTCTGTGACTCTTCTATCTGGTAGTCAAAATCATAATTCTCCATGGTGGACTCAATCACTTCCTGCAGCTTTTCTTCCAGATCTGCTAGCACATCATCTGGCACAGGTTCCTCTGCAATATCGTAAGAACCAGCTTTTTAACACCAGCATCTAATACTACTATATTACATTTCTAAACATGTTCTCTACTATGTGGTTTGGCTTCTTGGGACTTGAATATTTTAGCAAACCTTGCAGCTGACATTTTCAGGGAGGGGTTCAGTAGCTCTTATATAACTAACATATAAGGCAGTATGTCAGAGGTGAAACTAAGTTTGGACAAGCAGAGGACCGGGATGCTAACCAATAAGGCATGCCCATGTGGTTAATGACTTGGATCCAAGGCCAGATCCATTAATAAAGAGAACAAGAAAGAACACACAGCATACCTACCTTTCATTTACAGCACCACTGACTGCATATCCCAGCTGGTGAAGAAAAAAGCTATTCATATAATATGGAAATCACTTAACAAAAAGGTGGTAGATGCTTAATTCAAATCTTTGACAGGATACCAACTATCATGACTAAGGTTTCTGCAGTTTTCATCACTTCTTCCAAACAAATGTTCGGACAGTACACCATGACGCCTTTCAAATCACTTCCAATTCATCAGTTACCCCATCTTCCAATATTAACAAAGTGTAAGTATATAACTGCACAGAATTAACAGAATATTTTCTTTTAAATTTCATTATTCCATCAACATAAGATATTTAAATCCAATGCTCCTCAACAGACTGCTGTATTATTTATGAAACATTTGTTATCACCAACAGACTTTTACCAAAATGAAGCAGTAAATATCAGTACTTATTAGAAGTACCCGCTGCAACTTGATGAAATACTTTGAAGAATGAACATAGCCTTTTCATATTTATGTGGTCTTGGTGACACAGTCCAGTTTCACAGCACCATTTGAATATGTTATTATGGGGTGCCAAGAATCTGCAAGATAAATCTTGAAGCACCCCCTCACAAATGACTACATTATCATGTGAATTATGTATATAAATGATACCTTCATCAGATCCTTCTTCAGAGTCTGTAAGAACAACAGTATCATGTCGAAGCTGGAATTTCGCCGTCATTAATGGCTTGTGCTCTGACAGAATATAAGACAAGTGCTGCAAATATAAAAAATAAAATTTTATCTCAGTAAAAACAAAACAGTTCAATAATGGCTAAATTTATGTACAGAGAAACATAGCTGCATAACGTTGTAATCTCAGGATATATACTTTTATATTTGATAACAATAACCAAAAAACTAATTTTAAATTTTGTGTAAAATAAGAAGTAACAAATTCACCAAATATAGCAGCATAAGTACGCATTCAGAAAACACTGATCTGTAGTGAAGGTACTAAATACATTTAAAGCATCATAAAATGTATGTGATGATGCTTCTTCAGCTTCCTGTTGAAGACATTTTGGCAATACACCATGTTATAAAAATTCCAAAGAGCAATTCTTTTTTCAGTCGTACACTGTGCCACTTCCAATCATTTCTGACCGGCCTTCTGAATGACTTCAGACTCAGTTTTTGACCTGATAATAAGTGTTCTGATCTTCCACCAGGTATTAAGAGCAATTTGTTCTTATGGCGAAACAGGTGGGAACATTCTTTGTATTTGTGTTCATCCATGAGAAACAATGCCAAACTGATGCCAATGCACTGATGTTGATGATGAAATTTTAGAAAATTTATTATACTGGATAAAATGTACCAACTTGAACAATAAATACTGGTATTAGAAACAGTACATAATATCTCTTATCAACAATTTTGGAACTGTACAGTATTGAAATTGTTTCTTTGCAGCATTACATTAGAATGAAGAAGTCTTGTGTCAAATATGTTCATATATATTTTATCAGTGACCACCTCTGTGGTCTAGTGGTCAGTGACTCCGATATAGAAAAATGAAATTAACAACTGTGGGGATCCACTGCACTGACCACATGACACCCTCTATCTGCAAAAGTTGGCACTAACTTCAGTCACTTGCAGACTACAGACCATGCAGTTATATTTTGTCAGCAGTCATACAATACACACCAATGGGATACTGAATATCCACTCTGTAAGCCTATTTGGAAGTACATGGGGTCCGAATAAATTATCACCACAAATATTGGACCAGATGTTGATGGAAAACCACAGCTGGTGATGTAATGGAAGAATCAGCCCATGCCATAGCTCAAGCAGTTAGTCACTGGCTTCCCACCGTGGCAGCCTGGGTTTGATCCCGGGTCTAGTCAAGTGGGATTTGTGGCGGACAAAGTGGTGCTGGGGTGAGTTTTCTCCTAGTACTTAGGTTTCCCCTGCCAATCTTCACTCCACCAAATTCTCCATCATCATAATCACCCAGGGCAGGTACAACAGGCCAATCAGTGGCTGATGTACTGAGAGGACCCAACTGGACCCGAACCCCTGACTATGAGAATTAAATGGAAGAATCATATTTGGATTTTCATCTGCCCACAGATGCCGATTGTAAAAATTCTGGATTCTATCTCTCATGAACTGTGCTTCATCTGTAAATATTACAAAGGCAGATAAGTTAGGCTTTGTACCACACTGTTGTGAGAACCATTGGTAGAACATTACTAGCGCAGGAGAAACTTGTAGTGACAAGGGGTGTACATTCTGCAGATGGTAGGGATACAGTTGTTGTTCTTGTACCACTATCCAGAGAGCAAATGAGCAACACCCACTTGCATTGATGCTCTTCATGCACCAATTCCAGGAGTTTCATTCAAAACATCCAGAATATCCTCTACTTCAGGAGTCATAGATTTTTTTGGTCAACCCCTGCTGGCAACTCAAGGTGCAAAATTCCCATGTTCACAAAGGCAGTGGTGGGTACTTATAAATGTTTTCCTATCTGGACATGTTCATCCAGGATACCTTTCTTGGAACAAACAACAAGCAACCACAGCATCACCGTCTGCCAAACCATACATGAAATGCATATCAGATAGCTTTTGATTTGAGTACATCATCTCAAAAACTTGCAATCACCACACAATTACTGTATATTTCTCCTATTAAGATCTGGGAACTTTCCAAGATTGTGTTGAACTGGTACCATGGCTCTCTTAATGCAGTGAATGATGAAACGATCTGCGGAAGTTTATGAAATTCAGTTTATCATTCAGTGGTTTTAGAAAGCCTTAACTCAGAAACTGTGCATTTCTGGACCTATGCTGATATAAACTATTTTTATTATCTACATGTGTGGAACTCAATCCTGAAGTTATGCTGTGTATTTTTTAAACACCTTGTACATTCCACACAAAATACCGCGTGGCTGACTATGGTGGTTCATGAATTATCACTATGGAAAGGAAAGATTTTACTTTACTGCCATCTAGTTACATTATAACAAAAAAATTACCTTGATAGAAGTTCCATATTTGTTAAATTTCTATCGCCATATAATATATTAATAGCAATTAAATGGTGACAGCAGAGTTCCAACCTAACAGACTGTGTCACTCCCACGATGATATGAAATTAGAGAGTATGGGGGTAATATAGCCTGCAAGAGCATGATATACATGCTGTATACAGAAGACATATCACAGCCATAAATATAACGAACTGAATATGATACCATCAAATCTATCATTCAGTATAAAATTAGGCAAGTATGCAAAGATTGGCATAAGATAAGAAGTAGAAAGCCATATTAGGTCACAGTATGCCTAGAGAACACACCACATAAGCCCTGCTGGTTCGCTGACAGGAAATGGATAAATAAACTGTTGCACACATTCATACACATACCTCTTGATGCTGCATGGCTGCTTCGAAGCACAATGGACAAACTTTCTCTGGTTTCCCTTTCCTGTATTTCCGTCCGTAGTATGTCAAAACAAATACAGGTGCACTATGCAAGTCTTGACTGGGAGCTGAACATTCTACATTACAACAACAAACACCTCTTGGGGCATTTGATTTGTTCTTTTTCTTCTTCTTTATGGATTCAATCTCAATATCATCATCAACATCTTCATCATCATCTAGGTCAATCACAATTTCCCGACGGCTCCTGCACAATTTCTCTTGCAACACAACCTCGGGGCTACTGTCACGATTAGAATTGTCTGTTTTAGTCTTATCCTTCTTGCCGGTCTTAACTTTCTGACTAGTTCCTTTCCTTCTCTCAATCATTACTATCTCATCATCATCGTCATCATCAATAACCATAGGAGAATCGCAGTTTGGTGCATTTACATCCACAAAATTTATATGTTCTGGATAGGGCTCTGGATCATCAACATCCATTTCACACTCATCACTCTCTGCCACAGCTGTAGTTATTCTTGTCTCCCCTTCTGATTTATTTTCAGGTGTCTCTTTATTTTCACAGCCAGTCAATTCAGCGGTTTCTACTTCACGTTTACCTTTACCTCCACTATTTTCTGATTCAATGACATCTGAATTCTTTTCACTATTACCTTGTTCTTTAACTTCCTCCTTCTCTTTAATACTCAGTACTTCCTTATTCTTCTTTTCCTCATTACTAATTTCATTTTCTTTTTCTTTCGCACTCACTTTTTCAGTTTCTTTCATCTTGCTGTCAGTCACAACCTCAATTGTTTTCTTCTGTTTGTTACTAATTTCTTCACTTTCCATTTTCTTATTATTTACTACCTCAATTTCCTTGTTTCCATTTAATTCTTCTGGATCTTTCTTTTCTTTGTCACTTACATCTTCAGTTTCTTTCTTTTGCTTGTCATATACTTCATGTTCATCCTTTTCTTTCACATTTAATTCTGCGTATTCCTTATGACTGCCTTTTTCTGAAATCACACTCCCAACAGTCACTGCTTTGTTAACATTGCTATGGAATTTTTCTGGGTCTTCAGTTACTTTCTCATCTCTACCTACATTTTCATCATATTTATTATCTACGCTTCCAACCCCATCAACCTCACTTTCCTTTCTGGTGTTAATGGCATCAACTAGTGAATCACTTCCAGGTGACTGCCTGCTTTCTAGGTCACCAACACAAGTAATTCCCACAGGCTTGCCTATATCCTTACTGTGCAATGGTACATTCTCTTCACCTGCAGGAGAGTTGCAAGCACTGCCAGCGCTTGACTGTAGTTCAGAAGGCTCTAATGACAAGTGAACTGCGGCTTCAGGTAACACTTCAAATTTTTCATCACGAACTTTGTGAGCAACAGGTTCATTTGTACCACAATCCATCTGAAAGGAGAAACAAAAAAAAAAAAAAAAATTTACAGCAACTGTCTCCAACCTAAAGTTTGTAGTCACTGATATTATGTGCACATTTGTGGACATGTTCATTTCAGCCTGCAAATCAAATGAAGGAATTTACAGGATGTAGCGGTTGGAGAACGGACAATGGGAAGGAAAGAAGTCCTGAGCCAGACAAAGAGAAGACATTGCAAGTATAGCCTCGGAAGGAAAGGACCGGTGATGCACTGTTAGGCTATTTGGGACAAACAGCCTTAAGAAGGGGGAAGTGTGACATGTCAAACCGTTGTTGGGCAACAGGATGGGGAATGAGTTACCACGAAGACAGACTCTTGATAAACGGTCGGTTGCCAAGTTATACAACAGCGGAATGAGGTAATGCAACAGTAAGGAAAGCGGTGTTTCTCCGTGCCGTGCCTAGCCAAGCCGAAGCACGCTGGTTACTACGCAGCATTGCAGTAAATATCTCTCGGCAGCATTGCCCAGCAATTCCTCTGTAAACATGGCGATTATGCAACAGTGAAGTGAGGTGCATTTTCTGCTGTCCAATTGAGAGTTTATAAGAGAGACTAGGATGCCCAGTGTGGAGGCAGCGTTGAAAACCTCCACCGTGACCCTGCGCATTGTACAAGGCAATGAAAAGGGAAGTCTCAAATCTGAGACAGTAAAATATGGTCACGAGTGAAGACTGTGCTGGCAAGGGCCAGCACCACATACAAAAGACAGACCCATCCTCTCGTCAGAGAGGGCCCCACAAAAACAAGACCGTAACTGTCAGAGAGTAATAAATATCTGGTGGGACTCGACACCAAGACTTACTGACTGACCATCAGTCGCAACATGACTTTGACTTTTACTTGACTAAGGAGTCAGTTTAAATGTAGCATCTACTGAAGAAAGTGCTCGTCAGCATTCAGAGTATTCGAGTATTCAGCAGAACAGCAGTCAGTCAGTTGAAGCAGCCATGGGCGGAAGAACTAAACGTGTGATTAGAAGATTCTATGTGCGACAGTTTGTGATAACTGAGAAGGTATTGGGAGTGTGTAATTCAGTGACACTTGTATAGCTTCCATGTTATACTGTAAATAAGGGAAGATTACTGAAGATAGCATGAAGAGACTAGTGTGTAGGGTTTGTAAATTGTGTAAACCCACAACAGTGTTATAATTAATCATAGTTACGACTTGTAGGTTGCTAATAAAACCGATTAACAATCTGAACGGCATCTTCGGTAGACAAAACACATTACACTATAATATGACTATCTGTATCAGCAAAAACAGGAATGTTTCTGTAGGATGTGTATTCTGGAAACACATTTCTTTTGGACAGCAGTCCAGTTTACCCACAGGAGGAGGAAGTCATAATTTGACACAGTATTACTGGGTTGTCAGGATACATTAGCTTTAGAAAGTCACTCTGCAATGCGGCCTGATATACACTGTGGGAGAATGATATTCTTCATTAAACATGAAACAAACATTTTGACTTTAGTTTACGTGGTGATACCAAACCTCTTGCTACCAGGAATTTGGTTACATGATTTGAGAGCAGCCTGGATGGGAAACTACTGAAGCTTCAGAACCAATTGCCTGATTTTCATACCTGATAAAACATCTGCTTAACTGGATGGACCAATAAGAGGAGAGGAATTCATATTTTTGCATGTAGTATCTTCAACTTGGTAACTAGCACAAGGTTTCGACAGATGCAAACTGCCCTGTACAATGCACTTTTTTGATTCAAGACTCAATGGATATGAACACCCTCTCCCTCATCCTATCAAATTATTAACTTTCATCATTCACTCTGTTACATAATTTTGAGATATCATTGGTCAACACTAAATTTGTTAAGACATTAATTTGTGTACTTAAATATTCAAGTGTTTAAATGAGGCTAAGTGTCAACACCAAGTTAATATATAGATGCCCATATAATCTAATTTGAAATAATGATAACAGTATGTCTTTCAGGGATACTGAAACTAGTTCAGCAGTCATATAAATATGTCACTAGTGAAGCATACTTTGAAGGGGTCCATCATTACCATCAGTTCAATAATGAAGTATCATTATCAATTCATTTCAGTGTTCAGCATGTTGTCATAATATCACCTGTTTCAATGAAAGCTAACCTGCTATAATCCTAAGTAAATTTTTTTTCACAAATTTGAGCTAGGTACACATAATTAATTACCAATCTCATGATAATTCTGTGAGAGTAGGTGGGTTGACCAAGGCACAATAACAACTGTGAAGAAAGTCATTTAAAGAATTTGACAAAAATATGTCCCCGGCAATGTTATAATAAGTGTCAGAAGAAGAATCTACAATTCAAGAAAGTGTCAGAAAGGCTTAATTTGTATATCTGTTGATTCTCATACAAAAGCAATTTGACATTCTACAAATTATCAAATTAACATAACTCATTATATCATCGAAAAAGTTTTTCGGTAACTTCAACATATCAACGACACAAAATCGAAACCTTTAGCATATTTCATATTTATTTTGCATTCATACTGTTACAACTGCAACATTTGAACAAGTCAACTCATTAAATACATCATTGTTAAAAGCTCTATAATCCTAGAATGTATTAGACTAAAAATAAAAACTGTACTTGCCCTACATCACTAAGAATTTTAAAAATATAGTAACTACTACAATTCCCTTTTCTTCTCTTTTTTCGTTAATTAAAAAACCTTGCTATGCTTCCTCATGTCCCTGTTGAAGAAACTCATTCAATGTATAGAAAGGACGATCAAATAAAAATAATTTTAATTTATGTTTAAATTCATTACATCCCTTTGACTTTTTAACTTCCAAAGGAAGTGGTTTCAACCCAGCGGTAAAGCGAATACTGTGGGATTTTATATTCACGTTTATACACGTATAATGTATTACATATGTTTATTTCAATTGCGGTAAATAAATGGCATACCTTCATCTATGCTTGTCGCACAACACCCAAACCTTCAAACAAATTTAAAATACGTTTACCTCTGTACATTGTCGGTATCGGTCGGTATAAATACAAACGCTACCAACGAGAAAATATCAAATTCCCTGACGTTGCTTTAAACCTTCACGATTAAGGTAAATACAGCATCCACTCGTTTAAATTAGTTTAAACCGGAGGAAGTTCTATCCATGGAAATGTGTAGTTGATAGAGCAAAGAAAAATTGAGAAATAAATCTAACAGTGGTTTAGGAAATCATTTGCTATCTTAATTTTTCTTTGACTATGATTATAATATGTATTTTATGTGCAATGCATGATTGTAACATTCATTTCTAGCCTTCCATCATAATAGTAACACACACATCAAAGACAGAATAATGGAAGCAGACTGAGTGGTCATTTGCATAACCGCGAAGGTAAAATAGAATTGTGTAAAAATGAGGTTATCCCTCAATTAATTAATTACCAAGCCATGAAGACGTATGTGGGAGTGAAGGTAGCGCTCCAGCATTCTTCACATCCGCACTAGATGCAGGTGGGTGGTCATCTTCAAAATCGGGCTACTTTACTCCCGGAAACCCCCCCCCCCCCAACTCATTCGATTGAAGGCTGGATGGCCCCCAGAGCCAGCGTAGACGCTGTGGAGTAGTGAAATATCCCTCACCCCTACTCTAAATGAAAATATATGGGGAAGTGGAGGGATAGCTCCATCACTTGAACTCACCACTACATCGAGGTGAGGGCTCAGCTACACACACTGACATCCTCGGTTCAGGTCAGTAATTCCAGGATAGAAAATTGGAAGGTTTTCTAAAATAGTGGGTGGGTTACACAGAGGGAGTTGGCATTTCTCCAGCATGTGATGTGTTAGTGGTGCAATTTATTCCCTAGGCTTAGGGAAGGCTTTCAGATCATGTATATAACAAGACATTTTCATGCGCCAGATGACTATTTTACATCGACTTTAAGGCAATTTTGAAAGGTGATACTGGGAAAGTCGAAATGTTATAGTTAGTCCTTTTGTATACGAGTATTAACTCCAAGATACAATCACATTTGGTTTCTGTCTCCAGGCTCGAGTCATTTATGGATCCTTATGATATGGCAGCGACTGCGAGGAGCTCTGTAGCCATCAAGACGCAGTGTGAATGGGCAATGAAAGCATGGATGAAGTTAGAGGCAGAGGATATGCAACAGGAGTTGACACTGAGAGTGTAAAAATGTGACCATATTATCTTGGATCATCGCACGTTGAGACTTTCTTTCAGAATTTAAAAATGGCTTTAACAGTCTTGAAGCAAGAGGAGTAGACCAGCTGGAATAAGGGGCTTAGTTTGCACTGGGGATTCATGCTACCTGTCATGAGCTGAGCAAAGAAACTCTAGTGGAATTGTTTCTGGGACACACTACTGTAGATCCTTTCTAATTGCAGCAGGGTTTTATGAAAGAACAGCTCCAAATAAACATGGAAACTCACTGGAAACGAGCTGTGAGTGACCTGAAGAAGACTAAAGCTTGAGTCGCTCGTTGTTACGATGAAGGTCACCTAGCCAATCTGTTTAAGTTTGGAGACACAGTGCTGCATGCAGTACTTCGTACATTCGTTGAGCTCTGCAGGGGTCCATAGATGGGCGAAATTGACATGGAAATTCTTGTACCAAGGTTCAATAGTTCAGTGAGTGTTTTCCTAGAAGATCCCTAGACTTGTGGATGGTACATATCTGTTCAGGAGCATAGTTGGTTGAGGCACTATGCTACCAGCTGGAAGGTCGCAGGTTCGATTCCTGATGTTACTGGATTTTTCAGTTGACCTAAACCTTCCACTCATACTATGGTCCTGGGGTCAGCTCAGTCTCTAACAGAAACGTACCAGTTATTTTCCTGGGGGTGATGGTCTGCCAGCGCATAAGGATTACCCCACCACCATCTCTGAACCGAATGTTTGTTCATTAGGTGAGTTTAGCCCCCTTTAACAGATCTGGGCTGGGATATTAACTTGTTGGGAATATTTGTATTATTTAACTAACGTAACTAAGTGTGCGAGGGAATGGAAGGGGAAATTACCATTTTACTGTATACAGGTAAAGGTAAATTTGTCTGTGCATAACTAATTAAGCACTACTCCATGAAGGCATATGGGGAAGTGGATGTATATGTCCACGTATTACTGACCTTGCCACTAGTTGGAGGTGAGTGGTCAGCTTCACAACACGACCGCTGATGGTAGTTCTGGCCAACAAAAATATCTGTAGAAAGTCACAAAAGTGCTTAGTGACTGACATATTCTCAACTTCAATCATACCTTGAAGGACATGTGCTGTAGATAGAATTACCAAAAAAATTATTTGGAATATCCATAATCTACAAGATACCATCACCCTGTTTATTGTTTTCAAAAAGGAATTTACTATCCTTTCAAAAGAGCATAGAAAATTCAAAGCCAGACTGCTACACCTCATGAATAAAATCTTCTGTCAAGGTTTGCCATCATATGACACCTGTAATGACAGATGAGAAACTTTGTAATGCTATCACAAATACCCAATCCACACAAATAGGCCATGCCCATGGAGCAACAGCAAAAGATATAACACTGATACAGTAAAGATAATGACAACAGTGGACTTGGAAGCCGTAAATTTTGGATTATTACCTCTATATACCTTGATCAGGTTTTTGAAATGTTTGCTCCAAGTGTCTTAAACTTGATTTCAAAAAGTGACAAGCAAATATTGAAGCTGAGAAAGAATTTCAGTCAGAAATTTATATCAAAAAACTATGTGATGTTGTACAACAAATGATGGCAATACTGCTACAAGATTTTCTCCAGATGTGCAGAATCATTCATATAAATACAAGACTCCAACTGCTTCAGTAGTGAGATATGGCAACCACAAGGCAGTACCACAAAATGGATAAAGCAATCATTCTGTCTCTACAGTTGTATGATTGATATTGGCACATGTTTGAGTGTGACTATAGATGGGTTTTGGATTAGTAGTCAGATTTATTGCACATTTACACATATAACGTATAACTTCAACTTATTTGTGTATAACTCAGTGAGATTGTACCCGTGTTTTAATTGTGTTACCAGGAGAGGACCAGTGTGTGTAACTCAGTGATAGTGCTGTATTTAAATGTGATTAAGAAAACTTGTAAACAAGATGCTAATAAATCCAATCATCAGAACTAGAACCCGCCATTTTTGTCACGTGTGTCAGAAGTTGGTGACTCAGATCATATTGGATCCTTAGCAGTGGTTACGACTGTAAATATGTGACAACTGGTGTTAGAAGTGGTACAGACTGGATTGACGTGACTGAGTATATGAATGAAGATCTGTTTCACAGTGATATCCGACAAAATGGAAAGCATGGAATTCCTCAAAGCCATGCTGGCCGAAATGAAAGCCAAAATGGATGCCACCCAAGACAAATGGATGCCAATAAAAAAAAGCCATGCAAGAGGACATGAAAACAATGCAGGAAAAGGTGGACACCATCCACAAGGAGATGATGGCCAAGACAGATGACAACCAAAAAATAATGGAGGCTGACAGAGGAAATGAAACAAGAAATAAGAGCCAGTGTGGGCACTGTGTATGTTGCAGCTTGGTTCAACATGAAACAAAGCTACAACATACCCAACGCAAACATGCATAGGACACACATATATACCAATGATATCAATATCTCATGACTTATAACCAAAGATGTACACTGCATGAATATTAACACTCCTTTAATAGCCCATGTAATAGTATCCATAAATACATTTACTACAGCAGAATCTCAGGCGTAATAACTTCCACTGGGACACGTTCAACTTGGCATTCCACAAATCATTCACACAACACGGAGAATGCTTAACACTATATGAGAAATTTTAACATCATATTCCACAATCTTAATAGTTGTTCTAAGATTTTAATATTTTATTTTTTTAATTGTATAACCTCCAATTTTATTCCCAAGGCTTTATTCATAATATAACACCTTTCCAACATCTCAGTCATCTTCAGTAAACATTATGTGCTAATATTTTAATACAATTATTTGGTATATTCTTAATATTTGAGAAAGTTAATATTATGATTCTTATATTTCTAATACAGGCTTAATGTTATAATATGAACGGGTTGCACTATATATGGATCCATATTTGGGAGTCCAAATAACTTCAATTGTATGATCATAATATTGCCTGATGATGTTCCCACGAGGACTGAAACATGTAGCAGTTAGAAAATAAAATTCAATCTGAGTATTGGCTGGTTATAACCATGTTTGTTGTGTTGATGGAAACAATTAAGAACCATATACAGATAAGATATATTACAGATATATTACATTATGGAGAAGAAGCATAGCATAACAGTGCAGCAACTAGTAAGTCTCTTTGAAGCAGCAGTCACATGAAAAAAATCTCCCCTTGACAATATGTATGCACTAGGAATCATATGATCACACATAAGCCTATACATGACCAATATTTACTTAGTTCAACATACCACCACATACAAACTACCAATGAGATGACACAAGACATGATAAATTATGCAGGGTTAATACATTCTCCAGTACAACAAGAAACTAATAACCAATCATATACAAATTTCAGTTTAATACAAATTACTTCTTTCTATACATTAGTGGCTTTCTGCATCATATTCAATTTAAACTTAATGATACTTTATTTTGTTGCAGTAATGTGCAAGCTACATTATAGCCTTCTGTACGCAGGTCACATTATGACTACAAACCCGATCTTACTGATCATAGAATTGTGTAAAAAGCTTGAGATAACTTAGAAGGTCTAGAAAGTCCTGATAAAAGAACTCTCAAGACCAGCGTGTGTGATGCTTCAGCTCTTGAGTGGAGGAACTGTTTTCCATGCCCTGGCAACAGACAAGGAAAGTCATGTACTGCAGTGAACATAACACACTAGATAAAACACACATACAAAGCTTCAGCTGGAAATTCATACACATATCATGCAGAGGATTGGGACATGAATAGGAGAATAACAAAAGGCACCTGAAGAAAACAAACTGATATGGAAAGGAATGAAAAGAGGCTGAACTGAATGGGTGCCTTCTTTAATGGTGTTAAGGACCTTTGACTTCTGTATCAAGAGGAAACCCCTTGATCAGTTGAATACCATGTATAAACTCAGTTTTCTCTGAAAATCTCAACAAGGGGGAAAAGAAAAAAAAAAAAAGGACAGTCAAGAAAGAATATGAGCTTCTGGGCTCAAAAGAAAGAAACATGGCAATTTACTGACCAGATTCATATACAATTATTTCTCCACAAAAGCCTTGCAAAAAATCAGTCAGCAGGAAAGAATATAATCATCAGATATTTTCTGGTCGGCTGTCCCAGGGAAATCCTGTATAAAGGAATCAGTCAGCAGGAAAGAACACATACATTACTGTTCCATGACAGATAAATTTCTTAAACCATTAATATTTACATTACATTACCACTGAAAGAGCATTCAGTAAAATGAATCAGTCAGGAATGAAGACGTACATCTGTTTGTTGAAATACTAAGTGATGAAGAATGCAGCCACATACAACAAATCTAAAAGGTGCATGGCCAATATTCATACCTAGATATTCAAGTATGGATGAGACAAACTGAAACCAAAGAAGTTTATTGAGAAATTAATTGTAACTATATTTTAGTGCCTTCACTAAAATTTGATTATAAAAGTCTGTATTGTAATAAAGGTACTGTATCTAAAAATATACAAACACAACAACAAAGGTTTGCATCACAACTCTTCCACCTAGACAACAGTTCAACAAATCTCTGTTGGGTCACTCAACAATCTCAGCAGACACCAGTAACATATTAGTCCTATCTATGCATGCACAAGTATAAGCTACAAACACAAACTGTCAGCATAATGATAGCATTAAAATTAGCTTTTAAATTACATTAATGCGGCATTATAACCAATGCTGAATCACTCAATAATGTAAGATCAACCATAATGTATAACATAATTAACAAAAACAAGTCACAGAACAATTACTATTTTGTTTACACACAGTAATATAGCAGACTTACAACTAACACCAGTGGAACCCCCATTTAATGTTCATCAATTTAAGGGCTTCTCTCACTTAATGTTCAACTTCAATGATTCAAAGCCAATGATCTCAGTGTTAATTTACACACACTTAAAATTTTCCTCAATTTAGTGTTCAAATTCACTGCTCCCAGAAGAAACCTTAAATGGGGGTTTCATTCTACGTAAAGTAACTTTAACTACAAAAACTTAACAAACAGACCGATTGACCAACCAACTATCAATCAGGCTGGGCTAGTGGTAATGCTCTAGACTTGTATTTGAGAGGTATCTGGTTCAAATCTTGGCCAGGACATCGGCCATACTGAGTTTTTTGTCATTTTCCTCAGTCCCTCCAGGTATATGCCATGATAGCTCCTTGATAAAGCCATGATTATGTCCTTTCAATACTTTCCAATTCCTCTATCACCTTATCAACAAACACTGTGTAGTCTAGCTACTGACAGAATCACAAAATAACACACAAGGAAAGAAAACCAACTACAGTACAGTCCTTCTTGGGAAATTAAGAAGTATTTATGTAATCAAAAATCCCCACCTAAACATGAAGGATAATACAAGGTGTGGCAATAAAGAACCCGGATTACTTTTATGACTCATTTCCGGCCACGTCATTGACGAAGAGGAGGGTAGGGCATTGACCCTTGGACTTCCCTCTACCGTCACACAAAGTTTCATTCACGTGCATCGGTTAGTCTGGCCGCGACCATTGTTAGAAGCGGATCGTGTTTCTGAGCTCCGTCGGAATAATGCTGAGTGCTAATGCAGAACAACGTGCTAACATCAAATTCCTCACAAAACTTGGAAAATCTGCCACTGAAACTTACAATTTGTTGACAGAAGTATATGGTGATCAGTGTCTATCTCGCACGCAAGTTTTCGAGTGGTTTAAGAAGTTTATGGAGG